AAAAAAAAAAAAGCACCTACGGATTGCAACAGACGTTGTCTGGCTATGGAGATAGATGCTGTTGAAGCGTATGAAAATGCGGATTCTCGGAACTCAAAGCATAGTTGATGTTTTGTTAGATGATGGTCATTGCTTCATTGGGAAGATCAAAAACGAGACAAGTCCTCCTCGCCGTAGTCTACTCTATGGTATCGAGAAGCATACATCAGTTAAGTTCTCAATCGCTTTGTCGTGACTGCTTCCATTATATGCCAGTGATCCGTCATATCGAGATAAGACATTTTTCTTTTCTCACTACGTATCAAGATCGCTCTACCTCTATGCGTAATTTGTACTTTATTCAAGTCATACTCCTAACAGGATTATGGTTGACAAATACAAGGTGAAAAGCATCACGATCAGCAAGTTTTAATCAGAATGGATGCATAGACTATTACTGATTAATCTCCCAGATCGCAAAATAAACACGATAGATTCCTCGTCCTCTGAATTCCCAGCCATTGCAGAAATTAGTGCTACACTCCTGAAGCGAAAGAGCAACTACATCTAAATAGTCCTTGAGTTAACTCTAGAGCTAGATTTCCTGGCTACTTCACGTTCGGATTGAATCTCACGCACAATGAGTCTCTCTCTCTGTCGGGGAACTTATAGGGTGACTTGTCAATTGATCGCCCAGGTTAGACGAACAATGCTCGTGTGTTGGCCATTTCGATACGTTCGAGGAGGACGGGTTGTGGAAGGCAAAATAGGTGTCAGTCACTTACAAAGTCTTATTTACTTAGAATAATTGACGAAGTAGTAATAAAGTTCCAACTTGAGCCACTAAACAAACGATTATCGTCAACTTAATCGAAGAAATGTTGTATTTCGACTGCCTCTGCGAGGACGGACAAAGTACCCCAACTTTCGGCATCACCAGACGAGCGTGCGTCAAACTGATATCGCACTCTATCCAATCATTTTTATTTTACCCAATAGGAGATTTTACATTCAGCCATGTTATGCGGGCGTGCAGCTGGTTACGCCTCATTTCTCTATTAAGCACCTCCAACAACCACAGAAAAACGTCCTTCCTCCAGAAAATTCCACCAAAACCGCGGAGATACTTGTCTTTTAAGGACACCAACATATTTCGATGCCGTGAAGATGAAAACATCATAGCTATCTATCTCTACTTGAGCTATTCGATGGAGAAGTCACAGTTCGCTTCGAGGTGATATGCCACGATCTTTTCACTAGGTGCATCAATGCCAGTCTTCTGGAGTAACATGCGTACCCCGCTTTCAAGCACGTTGTCAGATTTTTTTCTTTTCTCTGCCGGATCCAACCACCCTTCAATAAGAATCGCGGAGGAATCTGAAAGGGTTTCAAAGCCGGTGACTAGTCTTGTGCTGTCACTCCACGAACGGAAAACCGAAAGCTGAACCACGGCTCGCGCCGAGCTCTTGGTATCTACGTTTATAGCTGTCAAATATTTGGTGGAAACCCGGCAGTTGGGGATATATCCCAGAGCATGTATGTGTGCGTTAGTCTACCCGCCAATGATGCTTTTCTAAAGTCACTCACTGACAAAACGTAGCAACGTCGTGTGACAAAGACTGCAGATAGAAGAAGCAAATTTCTATTCAGAGCGCTCCAGAAGAACATCTACAACGCTGTGGCGCTGCAAATTATCTCAAGTTCAGACACAAACTCCATATCTCAACCTTCCCAGCCGCAATGGCACCATATTCTGCAACCACCCCCATATTTCAAGTGTTGGCATTCGTGATGCAAACAGAAAGTCGTACCAAACACCACTCCCTACGGTTAAAAAGGCTTCATAAGACCACAACCATTGGTGAAGCAAATGCACATGATATCCTTGCCCCACGACTTTCAAATGCAAGCGAACCATCCCATCCCATCCCCAACATATCTCCAATGCACCCTTGCCCGCAAACTTGGCCGTTCCCTGGATGTCTGAAGCTTCTTGACACTTTCCTGCGGGCCGCACCTCTTCCTCCCGTCAAGCTTCCAGATCCATCCCTCATTCGTCGGGAGCTCTCCCGTCAGGCAGATCCCGACTAAAACCATACTCCCCAAAGAACCTCTCCAACGCCCCATTCTGCACTCTTCTTCACCCCAGCCCTATTGGCCCAGTCCCCCAGAAATTTGCTCGCCGCGTTCCAAGTACGACGGAACTTCTATATATCGGGATATTTCCACATGCATTCGTGCGTCTACCCACGACAGCCAGCTCTCCTCCCCTTCACAACCTCATCTCCCATCCTTGACCCAGTAGGAAGTTTATTCTGACGTCGCGCGAAATGGCGGTTCCTGTGAAGATAGTGGTGCCTTCGAGGTCGAGTCTGCGACTTCATGTTTTGTGCGCGTTTTTTGGGTTGGCGTCGTTTATGTGGGGGTATGTATTCTCCATCTGTAGATGGGATGATAAGGGCTAATAGGTGTGTAGGTATAACATTGGGATCATGGCCACGATATACGTCCATCCGGGTTTCAAGAAGGCGCTTCATAAACCGGATGCAGCGCATACGGGGCTGATTACTGCCATCTATTATCTGGGGACGTGGACTAGTTATATCTTTATTTCGCATCCGCTTTCGGATCGGTTGGGACGACGATATGCTGCTGCTACGGGGACGTTTGTGACTTGTATTGGCGCGTCGCTTATTGCGGGCGCAAGAGGCAATGGATCGTTCTCGATGATGATTATTGGGAGGATAATCTGTGGGATGGGTGTTGCGGTTGTTTCTACTTCTGTTCCGCTTTATCAGAGGTATGTTCTTCGTTTGAAGAGTAGACCTTTTGGAGATATATCTAACTGTTCTTAGCGAAATTGCTCCCGCGAAGAAACGCGGTCATTATGTAGTGATGAACCATATCGGTCTTGTCGCTGGCCTCGCTTTTGCTTTCTGGTAAGTCTCATCTCTCTCCCGATGCTTTCTATGCTAATCCAAGATTAGGGTTGGGTACTGGATGAGTGCTTGGAAGACTCCTCAAGGAGCATACTATGGCTGGAGACTATCAGTCATGGTCCAGTATATTCCTGCGTTGATCTTCATAATCGGCGTATCATTCTGTCCAGAGACGTAAGGGCAACCATTCAATAGCGCTCGATCATCACTGACTATCTATTAGACCGAGATGGCTCATCGAAAAGGGCCAAATTGAACGTGCCCAAGCTTCGCTCGCTTATCTTAGGGATGCAGACCCATTGAGTGATATTGTTCAGGTCGAACTTGAATCTATCCGAACAAATGTTGAAGAACATCGAAATACCGTCGAAGAGAAATGGACTGCCCTCTTCACTCACAAACCACTTTTCAATCGACTCTGGCGGGCTGCTCTTCTTCAATTTATGGCTCAAATGTGTGGAAATACTGCCATGAAATATTACTTGCCATCCATCTTTGCCTCGCTCGGTATCGAACATAGGTTAACTTTGTTGATTGGTGGTATCGAGAGTACTCTCAAGATTGGATGTACCATCATTGAGATGTTGATTATTGATAGAGTAGGAAGACGGACAACGCTGGTTGTTGGATGTGTTGTTATGGGCATTGCCCTTTTGGTAAGTCTAGAACAACAGTGTACAGTTTCGAGAGCTGATCATTGTGGTAGATCAACGGCGCCTTGCCTCAAGCATATCCAAAGAACCAGAATGTGGTCTCGGATTATGCTTGCATCGTATTCATCTTCTTCTATACTTTCGGCTACTCGATTGGATTTGGACCAGCAGCTTGGGTTTACGGTTCAGAGGTTTGTTCTTGTCCATTTTCGCTTCCTCACTTCTGAATGCTAACACTCTCAGATTTTTCCAACCAACGTTCGTGCTCGTGGTCTCAACTTTGCAGCTTCAGGAGGCTCGATCGGATCCATTGTCGCAGCTCAGACCTGGCCGGTTGGCATGCAAAATATCGGCTCCAAAACCTACTTTATCTTCATGTCTATCAACTTTGTCTCTGCAATAGTGAGTAATATTTTGTTTTATCGTGAATCGAAATTGACTGACCCCATTAGATCATCATTATGGCCTATCCAGAAACCAAACGACGGTCGCTCGAAGACATGGATGCATTATTCGGGGACTATCATCCTCAATCTCGCATTCAGACGCACCCTCTGAATCATGATGGAAGTGATGGACCTGCAGAGCAGATTCATGTGAAGGGTAAGAATGATAATGATAGCAGCTAATTAGGCTCCTTGCAATGCTGATGTGATTGTTGCTGGGGAGGAAATGATCGGGTTACGAATAATGATCGAATTGGCTATGAGGATTTACGGATCGAGAGACCTATGACTTTTGTTGAGACCCCAAGATCCGTATAATATATGATATTAGCATACATAATTACTTACGGACATGATATACTCAACACCAGGCTACTTGAAGCATGCAAAATACACGTGACTGACGAAAGATTCGCCATAAAAGTCGCTAAGGTTACTATTGACGACGAAAGCAAGAAGTGACTTTTGTCGATGTGGATAGGTAATTACTGAGCAGATCCAGCAATGTCGTCGCAAATGATTCGGAAATCTTGATGGTGTGGTGATGCGTAGTTAGCATTTGGGAATCTTCAACAAGCCGAAGCGGACAAAGAGCACGGTCGCCGAGGCTTGAATCTCCACCTCCTATTCCTGGAGGGTCTCCACTTTTATCGTCTGGGGTCGTGAATGCTATCGATAAGCCAGCCCTCAAGGTGTCTATCACGAGCTCACATGTCCCACCTTCGACGCCGCAACTTCCACCTTCGATCTTCCTTAACTAGACAGTTTGAAGTTTGATCTGTCAATCTACCAGTCTCTCTTTAATTTAAAGAGCTCATAAATTCTTCAAAATGGGCGGAACCCAATCCAAAATGCCGATCGAGCACGAGAAGCTCCTTGTCGAGCGTGTACGAGCGTTCCAGCTCGAGGACAATCAGCAGGCGGAGAGCGACTATGTCCACATTGACGAGAAGGCAGTCGGCGGACAAGCTTTGCGAAGGTCTCCATGGACTACATTATCCGTATCAGAAGTCGAGCACTGGGAACATGAGCTTCTGCAAGACCCAAAGAACAAGTTCGTGGTTCTGTTTACTTTACGCTGAACTTAGAAGCTGACCTGTTGCAGACTTGCTCTCTCTGCCTTGAGCTCCGCAGACCCAAAGACCGTCCTCACATCTCGAGCAACTACGATTAAAGACCAACAGATATTCTCTGTCAAGATTCCTTTTGAGGGCGCTCCTATCACCAACCAGCGAAGCTCGGGAAGATGCTGGCTGTTTGCATCAACAAATGTATTCCGGGTAGCTTTGATGAAGAGGCATAGTCTTGATAAGTTTGAATTATCACAGGCATATCTTTTCTTCTACGACAAGCTCGAAAAGGCAAACTTCTACCTCGAACAGATCCTTGATACCGCAGGCGAGGATCTTGATAGTCGCCTGGTACAGACTTTGATGGCACAACCTGTAAGCGACGGTGGACAATGGGATATGGTGTACAACCTCGTACACAAATACGGTCTCGTTCCACAAGTTCTATATCCGGACAGCTTCAACGCTAAATCCTCTGGCGCTATCAACCAGCTGATCACCACGAAGCTGCGAGAAGACGGGTTGAAGCTCAGAGCGCTCGCAACATCTGGTACAGCGAATAGCAGAGACGTGGCAGCAGCCAAAGAGAAGATGGTGCGCGAGATTCATCTCATCCTTACTCTTACACTCGGTCCTCCTCCATCGCCAAGTAACGAGTTCACCTGGAGTTATGTCGACAAATATGGTTCAGCGCACGAATTGAAGACTACCCCTCTCGCATTCGCTAAAGAGCTATCAACACCCAAGTCCATCCGCATCACCAACTCAACTGTCCATAACATGTTTTCTCTCGTCAATGATCCACGAAACGAGTACAATTCCCTCCTCACAGTCGATCGTCTCGGAAATATTACTGGAGGTCGGGGAATCACCTACGTCAATGTTACAATGGACGTCATGAAAGCTGCCTGCATCAAGATGCTTCAGACTGGACTTCCTATCTTCTTCGGTTCGGACGTTGGAAAGTACAGCAATTCCACATCTGGAATCATGGACACCTCTCTCATCGACTATGAACTTGGCTTTAACATCACTCTTGGAATGACAAAAGCACAAAGATTGATGACTGGTGAGAGTGCCATGACACATGCCATGGTCTTGACTGCCGTTCATCTTGACGAGCAAGGAAAGAGTGTAAGATGGAGAGTTCAAAACAGCTGGGGTGAGGGAGCTGGAACGGATGGGTGGTTTGTTATGAGCGACAAGTGGATGGACGAATTTGTCTATCAGGCTGTTGTTGAACCACGATTTGTGGACAAGAGCATCAGAGAGATTTTGAAGACCAAGCCAAAGGTTCTCCCATTGTGGGATCCTATGGGTGCTTTGGCTTGAGTTGTGTAGACGAATTAGACGACGGTATGATATTTGCATTCGGAAAGCGGGTCGTTGGGCATGGTGCTATGGATGATTAACTGGACTTTTGATTTATAGCCAATCATAGCGATATTATGACACCTTAGTCATGAAGTATGCTGTCCTTCTTTAGTAATTCTGCTTCTTCGACAATTCAACATCTCTGCGATCATCGTACCAATATCGGTACCAATTGGATGGGCTTGATTCCCATCAAACACGGTTCGTTGCCCGCAACCGCATTTAAGCGGCCAACTGCAAGAAAAAGCAACCACGTCTCCTTTTCGGTTGCAAGCAACCTTCTTTCCGCCTCAATTACCACTTCCGCTTTGCCAAAAGTTGTTACTTCGGCCCGCTTTCAGCAATGGTTTAACAGACGCATCGGGATGGGTCAATCCTTCTCCGAATCTCACCCCACGGCGGGGTAATTTCTTGACCTCCTTCCCCACCATAACCACCTATCTCCAACTCTCCACCTCCAAGATGTAGCCTCAACCTCCCCCTTTCATCTCCCAAAATGGCCTCCTCCTCACCACCCGACGAGTTCTCCCCTCCCTTCATCCAAATCGACGGCCTGGACAACTTCCGCGACATCGGTTCCTGGCCCACCACCACCCCCCACGTCAGCGTCCGCCAGAACGTCCTCTACCGCGGCCCAGATCTCGGTCCTATCACTCCAAAAGGTGAACAGGAACTGCGTGACCTAGGCATCGAGACGATCTTCGATATCAGAAGCGTACCGCAGATTGAGCGGGCGGGAGGTGTGCAGGAGGTTGAGGGCATCAAGAGGGTCTGGTGTCCGGTTTTTGAGGAGAGTGAGTATACGCTTGATAAGGCGGGGTTGAGGTATACGCAGTATGCTTCCGATGGGACGGATGTAAGTTTGCTATTTTGAATTTTTGGGTTTTAGTGGGGTGTTAATGAATGTATAGGGTATTGTTGAAGCTTTTGAGGAGATCCTGAGACATGGCGCGAAAACTACGATGAAGCCTCTCCTGGAACATCTCGCTTCCCTTCCTACGGAAGGCAAGATCCCAGCCGCGATGATCCATTGCACGACGGGTAATAACCGTTCTGGGGTTTTCATTGGCGTCTTGCTTGCGTTGCTCGGCGTGGATGACGAGGTGGTGGCGGAGGAATACAGTCTCTCCCAGGTTGGGCTACAGCGCGGAAGAGATATGGTTGTCGATCGGCTGATGCGTAATCCAAAGTTTAGGGAGGCGCTGGGGGAGGGGGAAGAGGGTAGGAAGAGGGCGGAGAGGATGGTTGGGGCGAGGGTGGAGAGTATGAGGGATATGTTGAAGATGGTGCAGAGGAGGTGGGGGGGTGTGGAGGGGTATGTTAGAGAGGAAGTTGGGTTGGGAGATGAGGTTATACAAGGGTTGAGGAGGGTTATGAGAGTTACTGGGGAGTAGAGGGTCGGAATATTGAGGTTATGTTGTTGTGGGTTGAGATTTGGTTCAAGGCTAGAAATGTTGCGAAGGTTGAACTAGGAGAGGATACTGTTTTGAATAACTAGAGCTATACATATGGATGTATTAGTTATCTAGGAGTCGGAAGTCGGTTTAGCCTTGAAGTATACTTAAATGTTCAAAAATCCGCTCGCGAGTTTATAACACTCCACTGAAATAGATCCCTTTATCAATCTTAGGCTTCAGATCAATGCATCCCTGTATCCTGTCGTTGAACCTTTTCTTTAGAAAGCATCATAAGTTCTTGACACTAATCATTGAAGTGTAGATAAGAACACGATAAAGGTAAGTGAGGAGATGGAATAAATTGACGGGCATATCAAACAATTAAAGGTTATGTCTACCACTTCTTCCCAAATCGAAAAATAGATCTCATTACTCACGAAGAATCATGTTGAACTTGAAGCTGTGACATAGAATACAACATATATATACAGCTATGAAAATAGACCTTCGTGATTTTTAACAAGAGACAAGCAACGCTTTTATACACACCCCTTCGCGCCACCGTCGATTTTGACATCCACTTATTTCTGCCGAACTGCAAAGCCCTCGAAGAAATCGCGTACCAGCTCATGGCTTTGGATTTTTGTTATCATAGAAATATCTAGGTCATCAATGTCAGTGATGTATACTCGCAAAAACATAACGAAGAGACATACGATGATCTGGTCTGACAATGACTATTGCGCCTTTGTCAGGATCAATGCCATAAAATTCGTACGCGTGTCCATGACCGTAATTATAGCTTTCATCATCGATGTATATTTTGTGGATATCTGTGGAAGTGTTAGCGAATGCGTTTCAATGCTTTAATCAGACTTAAAGAGGGATACGTTACCTCTCATCCGGTACTTTCCAGACACGGGCATGAAACATGGAGGGATCTGGTCTTGTTGTGTTTCTGTTCGGTTGCCTGATAGAATGACGATAGTCTCGATGAAACTGTCGATGTCTTCTTCAGGCTTCGTGAACTTTGAGATTAGAGATATTGGTGTTGAGTAAAGGTATTCGCCCAGCTGTAAGAGTCAGTGGCAGATTTTGGAGCTAGAACGCCTACAACTTACACGCTCGAGCTTCTCAGCGTTATTCTTTTTGTTTATATCCCCAGCGAAAACCAATATCCGCCATCTCCCATCACTCGGCAACGCATTCACCAATTGCATAGGCTTTGCATCGCAAAACCTCACAACCTGCGCTGTCGGAAAACGCATCCCAACCTTCAAATTAGTCGCCACAGTCTGATCACTCCACTCTCCCCTCGTAGCAACCGAATCATCATAACTCGCCGTCAGTCCAGCAGTATAACGACCAGCTCTCACGAAAGTCTCGCTAAAATCAACTTCCTTCCCATCATCACCCACGGATTTCCCTGCTGCGATCTGCTTCGCCCATACTCTGTCAAAGTCTATCAGTGTCTTGGCTATCTTTTGACGTTCTAGGAGATATGTGGATAATAAAGATGCAGAAGCACGACCGGAAAGAAGCTGTCCGAGTTTCCACCCGATGTTGTAGCCATCTTGAAGTGAGGTGTTCATTCCTTGTCCTGCTTTGGGGGAGTGGGTGTGACATGCATCACCAGCCAAAAATACTCTTTCTTGTTCGTGAAAACGTTCCGCAAGTCGCTGGCCGATTGAATAGGCACTCCACCAGTAGGTATCGGCAAATTCTAACTCATAAGGATTGAATATCTTGCGAGCAGACTCTTGAAGTTGTGCGAGAGTAACGGATTTCGGGACGGTGGAAGAGTGGAGTTCAATATAGAAACGAGCAAGACTTCCACCTTCGCGAGGGATGATCATGAGAACCCCATGAGCTGAATGGATGACTGATTTCTTGCGGATGTCGGGGAAGTTTGTAAGGGGGTAGGTGTCCATGACTCCCCATACTGAATCTGATGAATCTCCAATCATAGAAATGTTTAGAGAACGGCGTACCAGGGAGTGTGCACCATCGCTGCCCTGTTAATGTTAGCATATCATTTTAACCGACTGATTATGACTTGCTATCAGATACTTGGCTTGAGCCTTTTCAATCTCTCCATTTGTATTTGAGATTTCAACGGTCACTGGATAAGCACCTCCCAATTTTTTATCGACACTAACTCCAACCACCTTCTTTCCATACTCCACCTCTTGCCCATTGTGCCTCTTCATAGCACCCAGCATCAATCCATTAATCCTAGCTTGATTCAAAATCACATGTGGTTGATGTGACAAACCGGGCGCTGTATCAGCAGCTTGTCCCGTCTTTTTGATTCCTCTTCCCCCATCAAACTCTCCATTCGTCGTTGAATTTGTTTCTTTCTCAGATCCATCACTCCAAAACACCACTTCATTAACCCAGTACGCTTCTTTTCGGAGCTCATCTGCTAATCCGAAACTCTCAAATATTTCAACTGTGCGGCATTGCACTCCGTCTGCTTGTCCGACTTCTAAAGGTCCTGACCGGGAATCTAAGATGCGATATGGGGTTTTGTAAATTGATAGCCAGAGAGCGGCGCAGAGTCCTGCTGATCCGGAGCCGGCTATGATTACTTCGGTTTTGGAGGTTGACGGGCTGGATTGAGACATTATAGCAACTTTTGTCTGATTGTGTTGCTAGAAAGTATCCGCCGAGATCAAACATGTAACTGTTTGAAGAGAAATCCTAAAGAACTTTTGTGTTATAATTCTTTCATGAGAACGTCTCCTCAAGTGCTAGATCTGTTGGACTTCTTGAGCTCACCAACACCGAAACAAACCCGTAATTCCAGCTGTCCAAAGGAATCGTCGGCAATTCTCAATCATCGATGGTATTTATCAAACACTTCAAAATCGCACTCATTGTGTACGGCACAATGTTTTAGCGGACGTCCGCCATATGAATCCAACTGAGGGGTCACACCCAAGACGATGGCAAGCAAAGTATCAAATCATCTGATTCATCAATTTAGCGAAGTTTCTTGGAAGAAAGTCGCATTCGAATCAGACTCAATAAGTGAGTATAACAATGAGAGGGGAACAAGTTTTGGTCAAAAGTAGGTTAGCCAGTTCGAGGTTCGGTAATTCTTTCGGGAACTGCAGGTTGGAAGAGGCCGAGGCCCATCTCGTGACATGGCTAGAACTTGTTACCTTTATCCATCACTTTCGATTTTGAAATGTGATTGACCTTGATCTTCACTGTTGAAATGCCAAAATATGCCAAGATCACTATGGAAAGTAGTGCATTTACTTGTTGCGGACCTTTGGGATCTCACCAGGCATTTATATTCGTTTTGATACGATAGTGATGAACCGATGACTGCATCTGCAGTATTAAAAAATAGTTTTATTGGTAATTCTATTCGTGAATCCATCGGTCTATCTTTAAATCTATTGGTCTATGTGTAAGTCTATCGGCGTATCTGTAACTCCATCGGTCTATCTATAAATCGGTCTGTCTAAAATTGTTTAGATATACATATACTTTGACATCATCCCCACCACGTGCATTGTTTCAATTTTCAAGTACTTTCGACATTGTCACAATTACCTTAAAATTGGTATTCGAATTTGTAGCATCTCCCGTCCCTGTAATCTCTTCTGTTGCCATCTGTATCCCGATAATATTCCCCACCACGGACTGCAATTTCTTCTCCACTGGGGTTTTGGTTCTGGATACCAAGTCGATGTTGGAACTGGATAGCAGTTTGATGTTGGAACTGGATAGTAGGTTGCTGTCGGGTCTGGGTAGCAGGTTGATGTTGGAATTGGATAGCAGGTTGCTGTCGGGTCTGGGTAGCAGGTTGCTGTTGGAACTGGATAGCAGGTTGTTGTCGAGAGGAAAATGCTCCAACTCCACCACGATTATTGCCTCCAATAAATCCACGTGGATTGCTCGAAGAGCTGAGGATCCCTCGATCAATATGGTTGCTAGAAAGCACTCGTGGGGGGGGGAGGGTTCCCGTGGAGGGGGGTTAGTATCGTGATATGTCTCCAATGCCGCCATTATAACTTGGATATACGGTCCTTGAGGTCTATTGCTCAGACCCTGGATTTGATCCATATCACCTGGGATTGGAACACGCGGGAGTACAGGTGTAGCTTGAAACTCATTAGGTAGCCCTCCCGGTATAGATGGCTGCTGGGAAGGTATTAGCGGTCGGCCTGAGCGTGATCCCTGATTCACAAATGGGAATAGATGTTGCCAGCTGACTGCCTCGATCGTATCCGCGGGCGGTTGTGTAGATTGATCCTGAGCGGCCCCTGTGGAACTTATCGAGCTCTTTCTTGACATTTCTGCTTGCCAAGCTGTTCGTATGTCTTCAGAATTTCTTCGGACGTTTTCAATAAGTTTTGTACTGGAAGACGCGCGAAGTTCGGAATCAGTTGGCGGGCTGGTAGTCTCCTTTGAACTATTTGCAGGCACCATGAGCCATAGGGCTCGTTCGCCATCGTCGAGTCAAATCTCGTCGCCAATTTTGTCAATCTCTACATCCTTTTGTGGTGGGAAATCCCATGGATCGTATGGGAGGTTCTCGATTTTCAAAACCAGAGTAATAGCGTTGGGAGTCCAATTCTCCGACGGGAATTCTTTCTGCATGTGCTTATGCAAGTTCTCCTTTGCTACCCCTACATCAATACAATTGACAAAGTGTTGAAACATTTCTTTGCCAGTCTTATTCTTTTCGCCATTAGGCCCATCCTTGAACCAGTTTATTCCTCCAAACCGGGTCAGGTCCCTTGATGATGAGGTGGAAACCGACATTACGACAGAGTTGCAATACTAGAATCAATTGTAGATTGCCTTAGTCCTAGTGATTTTCGGTATTGTAGTCTTTTAGGGGGCTTTTAACTATGATTTCAAGTTTATTTGAATGAGAAGATCGAGAGAATGTTCGAGTTGTCGAGGTCTATCCTGATCTTTTTGAAAGATTGAAAGGCAGACCAGAGGCCAGAATTTATAGACTTTCCCATCTGAGGATGTGAATAGTGTCATACGAGCAACTGTGAGTGTCCAGGTTTACTGGAGCAATATTCATAAGTATCCCTGAATTTTCTTTGCAAAGATACTACTCATGATCCACGACCGATCTGAGTCAAATTAAATAAACATTTGCCTTCAAAAATTTTACTAGATGACTGTAATACTTCTCAAATATCCACTCTAACACGTCCCGCTCGAGTGATTATGATGCTATTGACTGATTCATGAATAGTAAGCTTGAAAGATTAGTATTAATCTTCTACTTTATTGCCCTATGTGAATTGGTCCTTTTTGAAGTCATTTCTCGTCCACTCATCTAACCTCTCCACCAACTTCATGTTCTTCGAACTCTTTGTCTACCACCAAGCCTCTGAAATCCGCTCAAAGTATGTCACAATCTGCTCCCTCTTCATCATGGGACTCATACCGCAGAGTAAACTTGTACATGAACCTCAGCTTTGATCAATTTCAATCACCTTTGAAATGCCCGCCATCACTTTCAACATAATTCCTAACTCAGCGTCCCCGCTCAAGACCACTTTCAACAAGGCAAAGATAAACATGCGCCATCCAAATATCTCCCTCCCGGAGCTGATTAAACACTCAATACAGTATGTTGACTGTTTGTGTTTGTGTGAAAAACATTGGCTACTTTTGAATGTTCATATCTTATCATTGGGTCAGTGTTAGACAATGGGAGATCCTCAAAGGTTGATTCGGCATATTGGGGCATTGTAATGGTAGCAGAGGAGAAATTCACAATTCTGACACTTTCAGGCGCAGTATCTTTCTTTGAGATATCAAAACGGTTGAGAGAAGTGATGTGAAGACCCAGTGCGGTAGTTAATTGGTCTGCCACTGCGCTTCGTATCTGTCTCCAGTCACCTCAAACGGTGTCGCCAAGGTTCCGGCATTACTAATGAACCCTATAGAGCTGACTCTTTTGACCAAATGATGTTACTGTGGCAATGACGGTCGAGAGCGATGAGTAATTCATTTCGAAAGGTGTTCCATTGGCAAGTGTAGAAAATCGTTCGATTTTATTAATCGCTTGTTCACCCTTGCTGCATGACGAAACACATATGTGTACATGAATATCGTGTTGAGCAAGGCGGGTGAGTGTAATAAACCTACTGGGACATTAAAGTTGTGAGTAATGGCGATGTATAAAGGTTACACTGAAGAGTTTCTTTCTCTCACTATTTATATATCTCCTACGATATCTGTGAAAGAAAAGTCACATTCATGATACTCTAGTCAGTTGATAGATTAATAAATTGTTCGGGTGATTGTCGAGAGAGTAAAGTCCACAGAAAGTGACAAGATAATCAGAGCACCGCAGCTTATGTGTGAAGTTTCCCGCATGACCCGTGTGATTCGACAATACTGATAGTACGCGAGCGGATAAGTTTTTCACTCCTTTGAGTATTTCTTTTCTAGGATTGATAGTAAAGTGAAGCATTGTCGATTCACCTACGTCAGCACTCAAAAAAAGCTAAAATATGGGGCGGTTGAGCTACATGATTATAACATACAATTTCTTAAAAGCACGATATACCTCCAATGTTAGTCAACGAGAACCTCCACTGCCTGAAAGGCACTTCATTTTCTGCGCTCATGCCTCGACTGAGATGACTTTAACATCTTCCACACTATTTCCACTGTCTTGAAGACTGTAGCTGAACCATCCAAATCCCTGATAAGCAGCCCCATGTTTTCCCGATTTATGCACACAAACAACCGCACCAGCGAAATTGGGATACACTTTGGCAATCTTCTTAATTGCCGCTTGTGCAGCTCCTCGTGGCGAAGACCCTCTTCTCATGAGATCGACACCTTGGAACGAAGGAAGGTATCGCATCATGATGTCGCCATCACCAGTCGCAACACACGCTCCAACCTTGTCGTCGACATAACCACCAGCTCCTGGGATAGGAGCATCTCCAACACGGCCCGGAATTTTGTGTGTTGCTCCATTAGATGACATTCCCACCGCCATCTTACCGTCCGATTGAAGCGCAATCTGGCCAATGGTGTCATGGTTATGTTCGTTGAAAGGTGATCGCGAGCTGAGCTTTCCGGTTGGGGCAGAACCGTTACATGTGCGGCCATCGACCCAGAAGTTTGGTACACATCCTGCCTCGACCCACTCCTCATGCTGGTTGCGACTATGTTCACTTGTCAGATCCTCCATCTTGTATCCTAAGCTGACTGCGAAATCGGTAGCTAGGTTCCCCGAAAGCAGACTGTGCTTTGTCAACCGTAGGACATCTCTTGCCACCTGGGTAGCAGGCTTGATCCCTCTCAGTCCAAGTACTGCACCAGTGTTCTGATCGCTGCCTTGCATAACGAGAGCATCGAGAGTGGTTTCACCATTAGCATCCGGAGAACCTCCCCATCCGACAGTGAAATCGTTTTGAAGCTCTTCTGATTTTGAACAACCCGCTACGACGGCGTCAATTGGGTCGCTTTTCGGGCTTGAAACTAGTGTCTTGTAGGCTGCATAGGTTGCGTCCGTGAAAGGCCAAGTATTGACTATGAGAGGCTTTGTCTTTGCTAGAACTGCAGTCGGTAGAGATAGTAGCTGTAAGAGTAGCAGTGGTGCCACCATCACTGAATTGTGTGAAGTCTTCATGTTGAAAGGCCGAAATGTGTTTCTGGGTTCAGTGTGAGCTTCCTTTCCGACCAAATCCATAGAGAACAAAGACTTACCTCGCGCCAAAATTACGATCGACTCTGAATATTCGCTTCAACTGCTCTGTGAGACAAACTTCGAAACTAGATTACTGACTTCTCAAAAGGATGTATTGCACCTCTATATACACAAAGTTGTCAACCACGTTTATTCACGCAGATGGGATGTCCTTGCTGAATTTAAATTAATACCTTCCCTTTTCTCTTGCCCAGGAAAAGATGCTGTGTTCACCGTCTTCAAGAATGGGGTTACATGAGGCTTTCCCTGTTCGTGAAAGACGATATTCAACTTGGCGCGGAGATCTCTCTCATAAAATTCGCCCTTTCGGCGATCATTTCTCTGCAAAAGCGAAGTCTAGAGTCTGCAAGCAATTTGGAAAAACGTGCGATTTATGACGCATCTTGATTTTCGATAATGTGTAACCACATTCGCAGAGCACGAACCCAACTTAGCCATGTCTTGAACGACAATACCTTCGGGCACCATCTGCTGGTTTGCGGCGTGTATGTATAACTCCAAAAGTGGTGTATAAGAATGATGAATATTGAGCGTATCTATTAAATCTCAGTGCTTAGAAGCGCAACTTTGAAATATGGGATATCGTACTGCAGGATATGAGTATAGTAAATTAATTAGGCTATACAGATTCGTAAATTATCCCACCCAGAGCAAATGAGAAAAGTACTCATTTGCGCGAAATATGGTGCAATTTACGCCTTGCTTTGTTTTGGACAGTGATCGGGTATTTGGATCTGAGTAACCCATAAGAGATCAGCATTCTACGTACCTGCAACTAAGCATCAAACGCCTGGGCGAAGATTTACCTGTCATAGGTTGATGCTTGTTAATCTGTCAAATAGCAGATCACTGGCGGCTGTGCCGTTGTGAAAACGCTCGTCTTTTGTCTCAAAGGCTCAAAGTCGTCACTCTAAATTTGAACGAGTGAACGTGATTTATTCGTTACATTATATTTAAATCTATGCGCAACTACCTAGCAGCTTGGAATTTCATATTCCTCATACAGGCCAACTTATGGTAACGCTGTAGCAGTTGGCAAGCAAGAGCAAGCAGAGCTGACACGCGAGATGACATTTCCTGAACAAGCAGATACCGCGTATGGCTTTACCAAGGTGACATCAGTTACGATGAACTGTGTGTAAGAGGAGCAGAATGCCTGAGATTCTGCCACTCTGCCAGGAACGTTGCTCGCACGTAGAGCTCGGAGGCAGTTGTCGGCAAAGCAGGCTCTGGGGCTGATGTAGGCGTTCCAGAAATCGTGCATACGCTTGGTCTGAAGCGGTGTGAACTCCTCGTAACAGGCACTGAATGAAGGTCAGTCTCAGAAACCCAAGGTTTGAACAAATGTTACTCACTCAATGGAGTAATCCATGTAGTTATGAATTGGATCTGGACCTTGCTCATCTGGGCATGTGTCCAAACCAATAGGGCATCCTCTTGTTGGTGCGATGTGTGCAGCGGTATCAGCAATCAGATCTCCTGGTCCAGTGCAGCTGTAACCTTGGAAACTAGGACAAGTCAGCATTCAACCAGACAGAAAATTTGCAGGATCACTTACGTATGCATCAGTCCAAACCAGTGTCCAACCTCGTGGGTGACAGTTCCACCTAAGTTATATGGTGCTAAAGTTCCACCTGGAACAGTGTCGGCTCTGTTGGTAGCACCGTAAAGCTATGAATCCGTTAGCTTATTGCATCCAGATCTGGGATTCATGCATACGTTGAAAGTCCTAGATCCTGGCGCGGGGTTACCAGGTTGAGGATAATACGCGTACTAAACTAAAGTTAATATCCGTCTGATGTGAGCATGATTGGGAATATCTACCCCAAGAGCATCACCACGAAGCTTGGTGAGGAAGTACAAGTTCAGAGTCTTGTAATCACCCTTGCGCAGCTTCGTCTTGTATTCCAATTCGGCTCCAGTAGCATCAACAGACCAGGTGGCATTGATGGTACGGGTAACACCCTTGAGTACAAATCCAATGTTCGATGGTGCTGTGAAGATCATGAAATTAGATATTATTCAGCAAATATTCATGAACTTAAAACACACCAAAAGTTGCATTCAGATAGTCCATCTGAGCAGTGAGCTGGTTCTGTGGGATATAGCCTCCTGCAACTGTGTTGTTGACAGCAATGACGTGAATCCAGGTGTCTACGACAATTGGGGTCTCGAAAGGATCACCACCAACGGCGGCCAGACGAAGGCCAGCATTGGGTGCAGGGGCGATGTACTTCGCGTCGCCAGCGGCGAGCGCTGAAGCTGCCGTGAGAAACTCAATTGGAGGTTCCTCGGTTCCACAGCCATCGCGAGCAAGCTCTCTGTTAAAGATCTCTAAAGGCGATGGATGGGCAAATATCGATGGGAGGCAAGCAAGCCCAGCGGCGAAGACTGTTAGGCGGACCATGTTGTATGATTTGCAAATGTGGATAGGAATAATATTTCAAACAAGAATGGTTATACTCAGAACATTATATACTTGAGCTGTAGCACTCGAACAAAATACTAATAGTTTCTGCTATCCGCGTCTAGACTTGAGATCCCATCGTTAAACGCCACCACCTATCCTATATAGGGAGGTGTTCTAGCTGGAAAGCTCAAGAGCATGACATCTGGATGCTGGTCCTGCTAAGCTGCATTAGAAGGCTCTTGGGACTTCCAGAAGATCCCCCATCTTGGTCGTGTTGGAGCCTTGGAGAGTGTAGTACAAGCGAGATGCTTTGCAGAAAGTCGTATGAATACCAAGACTTTCCACGCTGGTTGATATTGCTGACCTTCCTCATTAGCCCAGGTACACTGCAGCTAAAGATTGGCAAGTCTTGGAGTCTGGAGATACGATAAGGATTATTCTGCATCGGGAATATCTCTGCATACATTGGGAGAGAAGGCGAGGAGTGATAGCTTCGTCAATGGCGTGGAAAGCAAAGTATGGCTGGAAATGCATGTAGGTCGAGTCAGGATGACGGAAAGGTACTTCGTCTGGGTGTGGAGGTGAAATTTGACTCTTGGTCACGTGATAAAATCCGCTGTTCGGGAGAATCGGATTTCGCGTTGGGCCACGCGACGGACTGCTTTTTACGAGTCTCTTCCTCCAAGAAATAAGTCTGTACTCCCAACTCCATCTTCGGTATTCTCATGTTGTTGCCAGAATTATATTGCCAGAGATAGATGCGTCTTTCGCACTTACATAGACCAGTACGAAATTCACGCGCACCTTGTCGCGTGCATTCAATATATTTGCATGATCATCGCGCAAAACCTTTTTTGTGATGTGGAATAGCATCTGCTACTCAACCCGCTGATGTGTTTATGTGAGCTGGTAATCATACAAGACACCAGCCATATAATTAGTACTAATAATGCAGAATGCGCCATTCACAGCATTGCTGTAGCAGCTAATTGCGATCTAATTTCCATCACGCGTCCATTTTGGGGTCCATATTATGGGTCTTCCATCAGAGGATATCCATACTATTTTAGGCACGAGCGTACAATAAGAGACAGCTATTAGGATCCACAGACAAAGTACCTACAACTCTGACTATTATCGTTGAGTTGATCTGTGTGTATATCTAGGGATTTGCTTCAATTCTCACGGTTCTCGTCGCTCATATAGTTACAGCTTGGCGCAAAGCAAACAATCATTGCCAACCATTCAAAGCCGAGTTGAATGATGTGAAGAATAACTAACCAATATATTAAAAACCGTCGGAGATTCTGCTCTTGTGATTTAGTCGATTGCTTCTAAGAAGTCAACATTTAGAATTGGCGCTGACGTCAAGACCAAGGCTACACAATGACCGCATTGATGCGACGACCATTTATCCAATATATTATGGGAATTGTTTCCAAAAACAAGGATAACATTTTTACTCATATATAAAACTTTGTCAAAAATCATCATGAATCTATTAAGCAGCAATGTATTCGATCCAGACAAGGATATTCCTGATCTCAGTGGCAAGGTAAAACAACCGTCTCCTCAACAAGTGATTCCTCAAAGCTGACTGCCTTAGGTCTTCATTGTAACAGGTGGATCTGCCGGTATTGGATTTGGAATATGTGCACACTTATTGCAACACAATCCTGAGAAGATCTATCTACTCTCCAACAAAGAAGATCATGCGGATGAGTCTATTCAAAAGCTTGGCGAATGGGGCGATGCCTCTAAAGTCGAATGGAAAAAGTGTAATCTGGAGGATCTGGAGCAGACCAAAGAAATCGCTGAGGAACTGAAACAGCTTCCAAAGATTGACGCCCTGATTTGCAACGCTGGATTAGGAGTCGGCGTTTATAACGAATCAAGAGACGGCATTGATACTCACATGCAGGTCAACGTCTTTGCGCAAAATCTGCTATTGATGATCCTCTTGCCAGTACTACTCAAGACGCCAGACTCGAGGATTGTACTACAGTCTTCTGAAAATCACCGTGTCGTTTCTTCAGAGACATACTACAAGGACATGGAGGAGATCAACAAAGATATTGGCCCGACTTTCCTTTACAACCGCACCAAATTGGCTCAAATATTATTCGCTCGTAGGCTTGTCAAGCACTTGAAAGCCCAAGGAAAAGGGGAATCCGTCTGGATCAACTCTACACACCCAGGAGGTGTCTCAACCGATCAACCACATCAAGCTGAAGAAGCTTATGGTCTGCTTGGAAAAGTTGGAGTCGCTGTTGTTCGACCCTTCCTCGCTGATCCCGTCAAACAAGGCTGCAAGTCTGCACTGTACGCTGCAACTAGTCCGGAGATTATCGAGAAGAAAATTCAAGGATCGTACATTATTCCGGATAAGAAGGTCACGGAACCATCGAGTAATGCGTTGAATGACGAGCTTGCTGAGAATTTGTGGAAGTTGAATGAGGATGTCTTGAGGAAGAAGTTTGGGAAGTTGCCGTATTGAGTTACAGATGAACAACTGATGTATTTATCTTAGTGTACTTCATGGTCTTTATCTTATGGGTATGGGCTTAAGATATTTCCGTGTTGCTCTTTGTAAGTCTACGTCTAGCGCATGATAAAATCGTCTAGCATTTAAACATTGATTCAAATCAAATTACTTTGGACAGTATCTCCCATGTCAGTGTAAAGGCTTCTATTAATGGATATAATCTTGAAACCCTTAAGAGCGCCTGCCCATGTTTTCTCTCCTTGCTTGTGACGTGAAGTTATTCTCAGAATAGATCATCTTAGTCTTCAAGTTAAATTACTTATTGACGTTCCTGATGTCTCGACTACACTCACTCACAACTTGAGCGGAGTCCCCGGGACCGACGAATCACAGATTCTTTTCGAGCTGTTCAATTCGCTAGCCACCCTCAACTATCACCTCGTAAACCATATCCACTTGTGGAAAAGACCCCCAAATCCAAGTATTAAGATAGAATACAGCATCGATATCGTACAAAATATAGTAACAGTGGCCGTCAGACTTTCTCATGGGATGGCTTCTCTTTCTCAGCACTTACAGCCGCATCTTTAGCGAAATGACGTCCAATATGTGAAGCCCTCGCATTCCAGGTTTCAAATTCCACCTCGCAGAATTTGCATTTCCTAGGCCAGTCGTCATCCAGGGGCCGAGACCACGACGCATCGATGGGATGGTCTGTAACGTTATGCATTGATCTGATATGAGCCGCAAGCTTATCCTTTCTACAGAAATTAGGTACTTTCGATTTTTTGCACGTACCCTTGTCAATCTCAGTGGAACAGATTAGGCAATCCCATCGTTCGGTTTTCCAGTGTTGCGCCTCATGCCGTTTCCAGTCGAAGAACTTTGGGTATTTGCGCTTACAACCTTCATAAGTACAAAAATAATGACCTGTGTCTTCTATCTGTTGTTTCACTCTTTTTGTCGCGAAGATGCTTGTGCTCGGATCATGGCATACGGGTTCGACAAGATCACTAATCGATATAACAGACCCTTGTGATCGATCGCTAGTCGAAATCTGATCTGACGTCCGCTTCCTTGGTTGGACGGTCATTGTAGGTTCCGCAGCATGAGGCCTTGAAATGGAGGGTTCGGATGAAGGCATTGCCCTTTCATTTAATGGAATCGGAATCGCAATAGTGGATCCGAAGGACTTCGGTAGCGAACAAAAGACGATTTTCCTCGAAGATTCCTGGTCCTCAACTAAAGTCAAGTGGACTGGAGCCATCGGAAGAAGAACCCCACCATGAATCCAACCCTCTTGTTGATATAGGAGTATTCTACTGTAGAGAGCATTGACTGTGAAGGTGGTCGATTTTGAACAGAGCTCTGATAGAGCATGTGAGAGTCCCGACGTGAAGGATATTGAGGTATTTTTAGCTTCGAATCCGCAAGCAGCTATAAGTTCTGTGACTCCATGGCCACTGCTAGAGCGAGGAATAACTGGTGCACAGCATCCGAGGAGAATCAAGACATCAGATTCGACTTTTTCCAGAATGTCTTGAATGCCGGACCAGCTGACTGGTTCATCATTTTTTCTGACGGCTCGATATTGGCTACGAATGTATGAGCAAGTTGGATCCAAGTCCATCTAGATCTACGAGGGAAATAGATCAAAATGTTAAGTGGCTAGTTCAATATAACGTACCTTGTCAAAATCAACTCTCTGTCTTGGTTTAACCTTCCTTCACCAGAATAGTAAACAACGAGTAATTCTTCGGTTTTTGCAGTGCTAGCGAATTCAAAAATCTTGGAATGTAATTTGGAATCGCTGTTTTTGGTTTCAATTTCCCAAGTCTCGATCGAGAAATTGAATGAGTCCTTAAAATTATGGAAGATTCTACGAAGTGCTTCCACGTTTGATCTGCCGCAGATATCATCCCCCCAAGAAAGCAGTAGTACCTTAACTCGACTATATCTCGATTGATGTTTGTTAACGGCCACCCAAGCTGCTGTGCTCCTAGGCATGGTGGTACTAAACTGCGTCGGGTACGCGCTAGGGTGTGAGGGTGGTGGTCGCGTCGTCACTGTAAAAGACCTTTCCGCGGAAGGTGCAAGCGAGATTGTGGACGCTTCGTCTCGAGCTGGGTCTCTCTGCAAAATCGTACTGTGAATCATGTTGTGAGGATTTTCAGTTCTATCGATGAGCGGTGCTGCTATTGCTGAAGCCGGCGTGGATCCATCTGGCTCAGGAGTGTGTACCCTGATGTGTGCAGGTAGTAGAGTTTCTAAAATTAATGAGTATTAACACAAATTGAACATGAATTGCAACTCACCAGCACCAGCTTCCAGATTCTCAATCTCTTCTTTTGAAAAGGCCTTCCTAGCAATCCACCGCTCGATCTTGGCAGGGCCTATCTTCACACCATGTAAGAAAAATAACGACTCTTTACGTTTTCTCCAACGCTTTTGTTTCACGGCGAGTATTAATTTCGCGTCTTCAGGGCTGATCTTTTTTTCATATTTCCACTTTTTGAACATGGTCATAAACTGTCCATGCCTGGATAAAGTCAGATAGATAGATCTTATGCTAGAATTTTCGCTTTGATACATACGAAGCATAGAATCCATGAAGATTATATAAAGTTTGCTGTAACTCTGGGAGTTTCTTGTCCTCTGTAATCCATAGTCGATAAATTAAGCTCTTCTGTTCTTCCCATTCCCAAACAGATGGGACTCCTCGGACATACGAAGCCCTGGGTGCCCTGGTGGTGGTTTCCATATTTTTGGTCAAATAATTGATTTATGGCTATGGTAATAGCGATATCATCCTACTTATTTTCGTCAAAAGGACAAATGTTGTTGGTGAGATTTGTTGCGCAATTTCGAATTCTGAACTCGCCTAAGCAGCTGAGCTTGGCCAGTGATACGGGCTTCTAGGGGCTGGGAAACCCCTAAAGATCTGTTGATTGGAACGAATATAGGATGGTGTTACAGTAACAACACGCCTCTTGTGTTCCACAGCAAAAAGCTCTCCAATATCGTTTAAGGTGTTGTTTGCGCTACGAGGTAGACTGTTCTTGGAGGTGGCCCAGTCAAAGGAGGTTCGTCGTGGATATTTGGAAAGGGGGTGTTCCACGCTTGTGATCTCCCGCTTGCAGGGTACATTAATCAGCTCATCAAACTCTTGCGCTTTGACAATCAAGACCGTTGGCACTTTTTGTTGTCATTCTGTCCGCCAAAAATACTTTTGTAAATTGAAATTTACCGCAACCTGCAAACTCTATCACCGTTATCACTCTTTGGAAAACCCATCTTTTGGCTTCGTTAGGAATTGCCACTGAGTTCTGGAGTCTGGACGCAGAAATCGGAAACCATCATTTTTCTCACAAAATGGCTGGTGTCGTGCCATACGCTTGAGGAGAGCAAAGTGTTTGTTGCACTTAGAAGCAGATCCAATACAAGTACTTGAAAACTGTATTAATAAGTCATAAACACTAGTCCATTTGTGCCTCATTAAAGCAATACTACTCCGACTCATCAGGAATCTTCCACCAGATCGTCCTAAATCCCTCGCGCTGAACCCAAAGTCGCAATACAGGAACGATAAGCATTTGCAAAAACAGCCCAATCCCTACAGTCCAGCTGTAGACCGTGTTATTATACGGATACAAAGAAACGGGATTGAGATCCACATAGGCTTTCGCCTTCCCCCGGAATATAATTCCGCTGACACAATAACAACTATTAAACAGACCAGCGGTCGAAAGAAAGATTAATGCGATAATTGAAGTACCGATGATCACATCTTTGAAAAAGATGACGGTCCATCGGTATTCAATGTGGAGGTGTTTTATGGCGAGATTGGTGAAGATGCAACTCAAGAACCACCCGGCGCAAGAGCTCAATACAGCGACCGCGCGACAGCTGAACCATGTCGGTCCCGTGAAGTCTACTCTGAAAGCTGTAGCACCAGCAAGTGCAATTGGGAAGACGGATATTAGTCCTAAGACGAATTTGCGACTTAAAGAGGATGAGTGATGATGGCGCATCGAGCCTGAGCATGCCAGCTCAGAGAATTGGGCATTGAGAGTATGCCACCACGAGCTGCCGCTGGTTTGTCTTTGACCTGGAACTCGTGCTGGCACCAAATCAAGGTCTTCGTCAACTGCAATCGGGTCTTGCACCGGAACTGTTGCACTGGATACAAGATCGTCTTGGTGATAAGCTTTGGTTAAAAACCCGTGAATTGTATCTTGGGCTTGTCTCCATGAGCCATAGTCTCCAGTCACATTGCTCAGCAACACCACCGGTAGAAACCAGGAGAGCATCATGGCAGGCGATACTCTACCGCCCGAGGGACTGGGCGATCCTCCAATTCGGTAAACGAAAACGACGACGAATTGGAAGATGTAAAGAAGGATTGCAACGCCAGTTCTTCTGCTGTCGTGAGATCGTAGATGCCTCAGCGTGACGGCGACCTTTTTGAGCTCGTCGAATCGAGCTTCGAATCTCGAATTCTTTTCAAAGGTCAGCCATTCGATAACTTTTCCCAGCACATCGGACGACTCTTGAGGATCCAATAACCGGTCTGCCGCTGAGAGAATAGTTGCTAGGCCCTCTGGGATGTCTAGATCTCGAAATTGAACCCGTCTTGATAACCGCTTTTTAACTATGCGTAGGTTCTCAGCCCAACCCTCGACAAGATATAGCTGGCGATGTATGGTATCTATGGGGTCTCCCAGAAAATGCGCAATTGTCATATATCTTCTCCATCCGATCGGTACAAAATGCAAATTCGCGATTAAAACAATAGCAGGGATAATCCAATCTAGCAATCGAGGACCGCAATCGTTATATGGACCCCATCGTTTACCGCACAGAGCGTTGCATCCTGGAAGAGTGAGAAATGGACGTGAGCCATTTGTATAGCTAGCGAAATATTCGGGATTTTGAGTATAAAGGCTGTTGTAGGTTGCATTGACAGTCGCGAGACAGACTCCACGATCGAATTGTTGGCCCGAGACAAATGGCACATTCATGGAGAAAGCAAGTATCGCGAAATTGGTATACAGCGACATCTCGAGTTGAGATAAATTAAGGTGCTGACAGCGATTTTGGGGGTGAGATTGGCTTGCATCAAGCAGTCAGACTGTTAAAGGCAGTCTATATACAATGACAGGTACAGTGCAACCTGTGCAACCTAGAATATGCGTCACGCAAGCAATATGCGGGTGTTGAACAGTCAATCGATAACATGCCAGCCCTACATAGATTTGGCAAATGATAAATGTATACCTTCACACGTTTCGTTGGGGTGCTGGATTTCGTGGAGGCAGTGCTCAGCCACAATATCCCTCGTGGTATTGGAGCACAAATCTAGGTACGCGTCTTGCGAGAACTGAAATCGGATGGAGGCTATGTACATACAGATACAATATGCAGTAGCAGGCGAACACACTATGAAGTTACCTTCTTATCTGTTGCTTTGGAACTCAGCCACGATTTCAATATCAGAGGTCGCAAAGGACCTTGCTCTTGACATGTGCTACTTAGCATAATCAGGTATTCTCACATAAAAGCCGAAAGAGTGCTTAACCGAAGTCGTTGAACGACGACGACTCATGAAAAGAGCATCGAAATTCAAATCCTAAGAATTTTCGCATCCTTGGCAGGGCAGAATTGCAGAATTGTGTCAAGTGCGGGTAGTAAAGATTCATCATAACTTTCTGACTCATTTCTGTCCAATTCTTGCTTATTTTTGGGGTCAGATTTAGACTATTGACATTACCAACACAATCTTGAAACTGCGTGTAACGAGCGAGAAGGACTTAGAACTGATCTCTTAGTCCTGTTGGAACAAAATGAAGGAACAGCAGAAAGTGGAGGATAAAACCAGCTCTGGCTCGAGAAAAGGATGAATGAGATTCGAAGTTAAATCAGCCCGCTCTTTGAGAAGCCAACCTCACAATTTCACAATTTCACAAAGCGAGTATAAAAAGTGACATTCGTACAACAAAAGGCTCTGCAGTTAAGCGCAAAATGACGGTTCCAACGTCGAACATATCAAAGTATCTAGGCGTCGCAATGATGCGGACATCGTCACAACCATACCCATTACTTCAATTCTCGTCGAGCTAGGGCATGCTCGAGGCCGATCGACGAAACCGAGTCACTGAAATGATTTCCGACTTGCCGGGCAATTCATGATGAAGAATTGCTGACTTGATCTTGAAAACAACATATTAAGCTCAGGCAGAAGATGACCCGATAACTACCTGACACATCTTAGAACAGGGTTAACGTATCTTTTGAGCGTGCTAGTATATAACGCGCGTTCCTTTTCGAACTCAGAAATCAAATTTAGGTCGCGGTATTGCTGAACATGCTCGAAGAGGGGCATAGAAATGGAGAGGTTCAGTGGATTAAATCTCTATCCATCCACCTGCCGGATTTACACAGTAGGCTGCGAGAAACTTCTTGTAAAAATGGTAATTGAAAGTGTGATTGCTTTTTGAAGAAAACATGTGTTAAGATAGAAATCAAACAATGAAAAATCTTCACGACAACTTGCAAGTAAAAGTAGCACGGAAAATGTCTAATTGCGATCGCACGCGAATTGAATCTAAATCTTTCGATGTCGTTAGCAATAGCAAGTGAATGGTATTAGAATATAAAGATTATACATTTACACATCAAGTCTAGATCATGACTGCTCTGCATTCCCTTCCTCTCCGATCAGCCGTCGGCCCTTATCCCCATCACCAATCACCCTTATACTACCGAACTTAACGTGCTTATCTTTTTGCAGCGCTCCAGCATCTTCAGCTGGCTGTTGCTCCTGTTTCAGCTCTTCTTCTCTTTTTGGCAAGGGTTTTCGTGAAATTCTCTTTGCCGGGGTTGTTGTAGTAGATATGGGTGACACTGGTGGAATATTTGGTAGCGGATGCGCACTTGGAAGTGCAACAGCTGTTGGACTAGGAATTTGTGGAATATCTGGGAACGGATGCGCACTTGAACTTGAAGCTGTGGTTGGACTAGGAATCGGTGGATGAATTTGTTCAGAGGTAGAATCCAGGTTCAACTTTGGCCGTGGAGGTAATTCTGGTCTTGGGTTTGATAGCGGATCCGAATATGGTGGTGGAGCTGAACTTGAAGCGACTCCTGAATCTTGAGACTGCTGCAGGTCTGGGTTTGAGTTCATACTCGACCGGAAATTCGGGAGCTGACTAGGAGTCTTTTCGTCGTTGGTAGTCGAAGTAGCGTATTGAGGTGGTAGAGGACCTCGATAGGACGTATCGCCTGAATGGAGGCCAGGATTTGTTATCGTTTCTGCACGCGTGTGCTCCTGGGGCTTCGCATTCAAGAAGTTGTTGACTTGCACATCAACTGGTTCAGGCTCTTCATCTCCCGACTGGCTACCTTCGCGGTAATGTTTACGCTCTAGGCGGCCGTTGACGAGACGATAGTTGTAGATGATATCGGGTATGGTGAGACCGGTCTGCTGAAGGTCCCGGAGGTCATGGAGAAGTTGGCGAGATCCAGTCGTGATGTCTCTCATGGTTATCTTTCTGGAAGCCATATTGATGGTTTTACAGAATATTAATTTTGGGAGTCTCTAAGATGTACTGGATAACGAGGTTAAATGTCGGATCTTTTTCAAAGTTTGGTGATTGTTTGCCGTGTAAACGTTTTCCTGGCGAATGTGTGATTGTGGCAGTGTTGAAGCCGGTGACGTGGATGAAATGGATTGCTTGTGATTATCTAGGGTAGATATTGTTTCCAACTCAGATGTACGAAGATATACACGTCGCAATTTTCCTCGCCTTTAGTTCTTGCATTTCGTTGTAAGAAGCAGATCTTGACCCGTTGACCTTGGAGAGCGTCGGGTGGTAGGGTCTGTCGGAGACCGGAGATAGACCGGACCGGGTTTCCGACACCGCACCATTTTCGGCCTCCAGCCTCCCTAGTATGATTCCAATGCTGCCGTTCTTCTCTCTTCCCTGCCATGGCAACTCGACAACATCTCCAAAGAGTTCGTTTGTCAATATTCTTCCACGCTTCTTCCGACCAAGAACGATGCGCATCTCCGCCATCTGAACCGATTAATTGACCGTCGCCTTGATTTGCTTTCTGGGATACTTTGGACACTCCGCTCTTCTCAACAACATCAAGGTTGATGTAAACAAATCCTCAGGCTCCAGCATGAATGAGGCTGCAGCCAAAGCAGGATAAGGTAAACTTTGCTATCCAAAAATCACTTCTCAACATCAAGCTACATCATTTTCGCTTGCTCCACTAACCTTTCCGCCTCGGAATTGATGAAGAGTTTGACGCTTTCACTAGAAGGCGAAAAAACACCCAGAAAGAGTTTCTCTGCTGATATTTACACATCGACTGGAGCTTAAAGCATCAAGATCTCGCTCACTAACAAGAAACAGTCTCTTTTGCTGTTCCAGCGACACCTCCTCCAGCATTTGGACTGCAACGCCGACTTAATTCACCCGCCTTCTGAAATCCTTCGAAGCAGATTGTCTCTGAATAATGTCAGGCGATGACTTTCGCCTGGTTCCAACCTTTTTGCTGGCTGTGGCTCTGAAGTTTTAGATCATAATAAGCAGCAACAAAATCTCGGCATCTGAAAGACTCATACAATCGCGACATTTCACGACATCTAGATACATTCTCCCCGGCATGGCTTCGTCTAGCACCAAGCTGCCAAACCTGGCAAGCAATGACGGTAAATGTTTTCAGATTTAGAAGTAGCACAGCACTTAATCCTCATCCTAGCGCAAGTACGAGATTTTTACTTCTCGACAGTAATAGACATGGATGAATGTTCTCAAACTTTCACATCAGAAGTACATGCCACCGAGTCGATCGATTCACAGGATGGATGCATATAATTTTACTTTAGCTCACTTCCCTGTCATCATCCTCAAATACCAGCCAATCCAAAATTTGCTTGTTTTTGACTAACATGTTCAGCAGGTTCTTTTCACCCCTCCCAATCCTCCAGACCTTCTCTCAAAGATTTTGTTCTTATGCAACAAGCTTCACCCGGAAAACAGATACTCATGTGGAATTTCCCCGAGCAGACATGGTTGATATGGAACCCAAAAAAGTTGGATAAAGCCCGGGCCGACCTTTGGCAAGGTGTACATTTCATTCTCAAGGCATTGTACTTCATCAAGCGCTCTTTCTCAAGTCGTGATATTGTTAGGTGGGCACCCGATAAGTTTACCAAACTCGTCTACTCCACGGATGAGTGGGATGCAAAGCTCAAGCTCAATCTAAGCCTTTTCCACAGCCAAGTATTGCAAAGGTCACTCACTTACACTATTCTCAAGCGATGGCGAACTTTCCCGAGTTATCCGACTCGTCTTGATGACCGAAAAGGCAAGGTGAACGTAGAAGTGGTACGAAATAGGAGGAAAATCTGGTTCCGTGAACGATCCGATTTGGACAGAGAGGCTTTCTATTGCTTCACCTACTTCACGTCAGAATCTGTGGATTGGGAACAGGTCTACAAACGGGAAACTACCAAAGATCAACGAATTTATGACTGGATTATTAGCAGCATGGCGTCCGCCGCCAGTATTATCTTTGAGCTTGGAATTGATGATCAGGCCGAGGAAGATGTCAAGAAGTCACGTCGCGGAAAGACAGAGAGAAACGAGCAGTGGAGTAATTTGGCTGGTGAGGAAGCACCGCCTTGTGAAGATTTGCCATTGAGGGAAATCTTTGGGTTAGGTTCATCCAAACATCTCACGGCGAATCACAATTCATCGTTAAAAAGTTCAAACGATGATTCACACTTTATGGATTCCCCCAAGGATGTGGAAGACGGTATGGCGGATTCAGACAACACTTCTTTTCAGACACAGAAGCGAAAACGACAACCTACCCAGAAAGCTCGTGAAGCATCAGAGATGTCGCGCCCAAAACGTTCAAGAAGAACTTCTCATTCACTAACTTCTGCTACTTCTCCTCCAGGCGGTGTCCATAAAAAGGCTGGTTCTGCTCTCGCGGATAATGTAAGTGAACCTGAATATCCAAAACGTCCAGACCTCAAAGCTGAGAGCTCCAAGTCTTCACAAGAAGATATGGCTTGTGACATTTCGCCAAGTATAGTATTTACCGCGATATACCCTATGGCAGAACTAGCTACAGCAGCTGCGATTTCAACCCCATCGATCAGTCATTTGCACAAAAGAAAGCCATCCAGCCAATCAATGGACCAGTCCACTTCAACTTCCCAAGGAACACAAATAACATTCTACTTTCCTAGCGTGACAGATCCAGACGTGGTACGTAAGTATAGAACTGAAAACAAACACGGACCTAACTCATAACCAGACGTCCACAAACAACGAAAGAGAAGAATCACCGCCCATCATCAATCCGGATCCTCCTATTTCTAAATCTTTGAAAAGAAGTCATGACGGACGCTTCATTTCAACACGATCACGAAAGACAAGAAACGCCACAGAACACTTGACACCGATGGCATCACGCCCATCCTCTCCGCAATCACCAATTTCTGCCCTGCCATCACACTCATCTTCTCCACTTTCACGTCCTTATTCCCCACCCCCTAGACCATCCCTCACAACCGAAACGATATCCCACTGGGACAAGCTCAAAGCAATGGAATTCCTCACGCGCATGCAAGTCCCAGAAGACGACGTAATCACCATGGGCAAGCACACCTGGCCCTCGGGCAACGGACAACCAGAGATGGAATTCGACGGCAGAACGCTCTTGCAGCTTGACAGGGAACATGTGCTGGATGATAAAACAATACTTTTGGAGGAACCAGGCAGAATGTGGGATGTGATACGCCAGGCTCAAAACTGGGCGTGGAGGAATGATGAGGTGCTTGAGCGACGGGCGGGGGAGGTTGGATCGGTGAGCGGACGGCCGATTGAGGTTGTTGAAGATGACGATCCGGTTATTTTCAAGACGGGGAGGAATGGGAGGGGGAAGAGACCGGTGTATGAGTTTAGGGATGATGAGGGAGTTGTTGATTTATCGGATAAGGGGGTTGTCGAGTTATCGGATGATGGGCAGGAGGGAGTGGTCGATTTGTCAGACATTGAAGACGAGGAAGGAGATGCGAACTCACCGATCGTCGTCGACGACAAACCTCAGCGCCGCTCTGAAAGGGATTCAGGACACGATATAACAGACCTAACCGTTTCCTCCTCCGACGAAATGGACGATCTGTATGATGCGTGATGAGTTTGGGGATGGAGCGTGGTGAGCGATGATTTCAGATATCGAAGTTGATTTTAGCGTTACGGATGATACTAGGTATTTGTACGTTTATGACAAATGGAGATTTGCATGCATTGATTTATTAGATTTGAAAGGAGAGGGACGTAGATGAATACCACATGATACCACATCTCCATCCCATGCCCCAATAAACCCGTGTTCCTCCAAAACCGCACATACCTATACTGCCTCATCAAGTAGGCTCGGGCTAAACTATACTTGTCAGCCTATTCTAGCCGTTCTTGACAGCTGAGAAATAGTATTAGGCTAAAACGATAATACTGTATATACCCCTAAGACAAAAGAATATAACTCTTAGACATCTTCTTAGGGACAAGGAAGTTTTACTTCTCTTCTATAGTCAACTCTCTTGAGGTAGCTTATAGTGCCTACTATCTAATCTTCTTTCTACCTTATTAACACCATCTTAAACCCCTTACAATAAAGTACTTATTTATATAGGATATAAAGTACATAGCGATAGTAACGGTAGATAGCGGTAGCGACGAGTGCTAATAATTGTAGAAGTACTGCGTACGCGCTGTGAATGTATAATGATAGTAGAAGACCGGTGATCGGTGCGTTTTGTGTAATGGTTTAAGTGTAGTTAGTAGTGTCATGTAATTTACCACCGATGCCACTCCTCCTAGATCCCAAACCCAAGCCTAACCTCCCCTATCCTCACATACCTAAATAATCTCTCCACCCTCTCTCAAGCACAAATATACGGTCTATCCAAACCATCACGCCCCTCCCACGAAACCCCATACTTCCCCCCTTCCCACTGATTCATCACCGCAATATCCATACTCCAACCTCTAAAACCCAAGTCCTGCGTCTCGCACCCACAACTTTACGGCAGGCAACTCTATAATAATATCTGCTAGTGTCGAAACCCGAGGGTAGTGTAGACGAAAGATACCAGGGGGATATCTCCATTTCCCTGCAAAGTCCAAACACCCCAGGAATCAAGGGGAATGTGGTGTTAATACGTCTATCTGCACACCAAATCCGTATGAACAAGAAAACTAGGGTTTCTCTGCCCTTGCTGAGGGATTCGTGGTTTGTGGGAGATATTTGGTTAATAGGTGATATATGTCTGACGAGATAGTCCGGATAATTTAGTCAATTCACATACTTATCATCACAGATCACCACACATTGTCACAACATCACAACATCCTCACAGCATCACCGCCACAGCATCATCAACCCTCCTGAAACCATAATCAAGAAATCACATGCACGTCCATCTCCATTCTCCATGCAAATACCACCACACACTCATAATCTTCATTCATGTTATGCAAGCCAACCAACCAGTATTCATTCCCCTTTCTCAAATCTTTTTCCATTCCAGTGATCCTTTCCCATCCAATGCCACGCACGCAAGCAATGCATCACAACCACGATCGGAATTCGCAAAGAAAATGCAGGTTTTTTGAAAAATGAATGCGGAATTTCTAGGATTCAGAAGTGCACATCTAATCCTCCTCCCCAACATCACCATACTCCCACATCCCCAACCGCTCATCCCTAGCCTGCTCACTCTTCTTCTTCAGATCCTCAAGCACGTCACCGAAACTGCGTTCCCAGGGTTGAAGTTTCTTTGGCACCATACCGTGACCGTCGCGGATGAGATCAGCGTTGATGCTATCCTCTTGGCTCTTGCTCTTGCCCTCGTCGAAGAGCGTGACGTAGAGTGTGCCATCTGGTGCGGTGTGATCGACGTTGGCGACTGTAGCTGACATGGCGACCTGCTTGATGTAGTTGACGGCGTCTTCGAGGTAGTCCTTGTTGGTTGGCAGTTGAACGAGTGACAGCTTGGCTTCAACGGCTTGTGGACGAATCTTTTGCGGTGAGAATTGTGGTTGGGCTAGTGGTCGCAATTTTGACCATGGCATCTTTTCGGAATTACCATAATCAACATAGACGATTTCTGCTACTTTTGCGGTGCGGTCATTCGCACGTATGCGAGCACGATACCATTGGCCGTCCTCTGAGAACTTTGCCGCGACATAGTCACCATTCTTTGGAGGTCCTGGAAGGCCTGCATTATTTGCTGAATTCAGGTGGAAAGACTTGAACTGGGTCATCATCGTGGTAAGAGCATCAGTACCCGTTCCAACGATCTGCAGTCGAAGTTTACCGTCATCTTCAACATGAGTGATGGCAACTTCACGATAATCCTTCTCTCGGGTGGCTGAGGCTTCTGCTTTTCCATTTGAAGGTGCAGACTCCTCTTCTTCGGCATCAAATGATGGATCCCAATTAGCCCACAAGCCCTTCCGACCCTCCTTCGCTCTCGTTTGAGCCATGTTGAGTTCATTGGCGTTGCCGGATTGTTCAGCAGAATAATCATGTACTGTCGCAAATCCTTCCTCGACGAGAATCTTGGCAAAAGATTCTTTGTTGATATATAGTGCACCGATAAAGCCACCAACTTTGTCAATATTGAACACATCAATCTCGACATCTCTCTGAGTCAATCGCTTCGTAGCAAGATCGTGAGCTTCTTGTCCGAAAGGTTCAGCCTTATCAGTCGGATTTCTTGCTGATTTCGGAGCACGAATTCCACCAAGGACAAAGTTGAGTTTGACGCCTTCTCTCGGAACCAGCACAACGAATCTTGAACCACCCTTGACAAAGTCGACGATCGCGGGAATCTTCTTTTGACGCTGCAATGTCGCAACTTGCATCTTTGCCTTTTGTACAGATTCAGACGCATCTGCATACTGCTTTGCCTTGGCAGCTTTCCCAGACCACATTCCTTTCTTTTCGCTCTTTGCAGTTTCCTGAGCAGCGAGAAGTTCATCGTAATTGGGTGCGCGATCTGTATCGTCTCGTCTGTGGAAGATGACTGAACACCAACCCTCTTGAACCATCAGTAGGTTAATATTCTTGTCATTTACGGTAACAGTGGCGACATCTTTTGCCTCGTATTCTCCAGTAGCTGGTCGAGATCCGTCGATGCTGATTCGGACCTGTTTTCCAATCACCTTCTTCCTCAAGAACTCTTTTGCTTCGTCTCGGAAAGGTGCTTCGGCGGCTTCATTTTGACGAGGACCACGAATACTGCTGAAGTTGATGCGCTTCTCAACGCCTGCTTTATTGCGAACGTAGATGACATCCGGACCGAAGACTCTAGTGACCTGTGCTTCGAGGCTACCTCCTGCTGATGCTTTTGCGACATGGTCCTTAAAGAGGCCTCTCTTGGATGATTTTGCAACCTTTTCTGCTTCGCGAAGAACAGGCATTTCCTTTCCTAATAACGTGGAGTGGTGATCTGTACATCTTGCTAGGCCAGCTTCCAAAAGGAATTTCGCAATTGAACCTCGAGGATGACGAACAGACGCAACAAGCTGTTTCTGGGGACTGAGGCCGAGGATATCAACTGTAACACTTCTCTGTAATAATCGATCTTCAACGAACCGGCGAGCCTCGTTTCCATATTCTTCTGCCGGTTGTGTCTGTCCGTTTGAAAGTATCCGCTCGGTGGTTGGAGCACGAATTCCTGCGACTAGGGTCATAACTAGAAAGAGTTAGATTTGACACAATTTCTGGAGGTTGTATCTTCATACCTTGAATGTGCTCAGTGGGACTGACAATCAACCGCACAAGCATGCGGTCCCCACTGAGAACGCGCTCTACCAAGCCATTAACTGATTTGCCCTCCCATTCTTGCAGAAAACTGTCAGGATCACCCATATCATGTCGAACGTTAATGTGACCCCCAGAAGATTGCCATATTCCCTTGTCTTCAGCGCGAGCTTTGGCTTCGAGGAGGCGTAATTTTTCCAGCTGTTGGAGAGCGTCTTCCGAATCCTCCTTCCTGCCAGCATCATCTCGTAGCTTGCTCCAACCTGCCTCAACCATGTACTCTGGTAGTCGAGTGCCATCTTCCAAAAATGCTACTCCATATTCGCGTTTTGTGTTTGGAATCGAGTAGAGGATCTTGAATTGGACCTTCTTTCCTACTACCAGCTTGCGCAGTGCGTCGCGTGCTTCAAATGCGAATGGTTCGTCTCCATCTTTTTTCATATGCGGTGACGTGCAGTATGCCAGAGAAAGAGTTCGCTCGCGATCGGGATTGTCAATGGCAGCCAACACAAGACTGTCGCCGCTCAAGACGGATTTGACCTTTGCTTGATTGAGAGCCATGCTGTATCGTGCGGGAGGTACGTTGGGGAGGCCTGGTTTTGCGCGAGGGGACTGTGGATTGTCAGAGGTGGTGCTAGGAGATCGAGGGGCACTAGGAAATGGTTGAATCAGATTAGCAATGCCCTGCGAAGAAGATTTAGAAGAGCTAGATTCCTCGCGGTTGCGAGACGAGTTTTCGGAAGCATAACCAATTTTGATCGGTCTAGGACCCATGATGGCGGTGAAGAACTAAAAATGCTGTGTCCGAATTGATATTGTATAGTGAAAGGGGGTAGTCTGCGAGTAGAGCGCAGATATAGGAGAGTGTTGCAGCAGGTACAATGGTGGACGAATGGTCTTCTACGTTCTGGCAGTGCGCAGGTTGAGTATTGTTTGGATCCAGGGTCTACCATTGTTGCTGGTAACCTAGGCAGATAGAGTGTAGGCGACGAGTGAAGGTGAATGGCAACTGAATCTCCAAGCAAACCGCATGTTCACTGATTGCCTCATGGTCCTTCGGTCTCCTGTGCGACTGGTGCTCCAGGGCGACGATGCGAGATTCTTGAATTGAAAGGGATTCAAACATTTTGTATACTTACAAGGTATCAATGCGTCAATGCAATGTGAATGCAACCCAGAAATCAAAGGAGTATGCAAAATCGAGAAGGATGGAAATGGTGGAGAGTTTGTGTTGGAATGCAATGCTCTTAGGGACAGATTGACGTAGAGGAGCAATTAAATTGTGAAGGCCGCCGGCCGCCCCTCGTCGTGTGCCCCGGTTTCCACCCCGCTATTCGCTAAATTGTACTAAAGGGGTTGAAGCAGGGTCCAGCACATCAGCCTCCATCTGTCGTACACTTTATCGAAGTAAATAAGTACAGCGTATATTTCTACCAAATCAATCATTATGGTTTGTGGGACAAAACGAAAGAAGGAGCTGAATCATCAGGTAATATTAAATTGAGGCGTGTTCTATGATTTCACATCATTACACTACGGTAGAGGGGCTTGATAGAAGAATCATTTCCCATTATCTAACTGTCAAGTAGACCACCGACCTAGATTATTCATTTTCCTGAAATCCAAGCAATGTCGTATCCATCGACTTTCACCAGATAGATGCGAAATATGGGACCTTTGAATTTTTGCATCTAAGCAGCAATGCCAATGACACCTAGAACTATATCAGCATGTGATGGAAATTTATCTATAAGCAAAACATACCACAAGCAGGTCGGAGACCAGCGTTTCCGGTCTTCTTGGATTCCTCGTTTCCTCCCTTACCAAGATCATCAACACCGGCGTGGACGACGACGGTACGCTGAGACTTGTCAGTATTGTCTTCGAAGAAACTGTCTCCCAACTTACTCCGATAACACTCTCTGGGCCAATCAACTTGATGAGTTTGTCGGTGGTGCTGCCCTTGGCATTTCCTTGACCATCATACTTCAAGTTGCCCAAATCACCAACGTGGCGGGTCTCGTCATCTGGAGCACCGTGTGTCTTTCCGTGTGGGTTGACTATTAAACCATCAGAACCATAGCCTTTGTTTACTTCATATTCCACCTACAGTGAGGACCAGCGGATGTGCAGCCGTTGGTGTTGTCACCGAATTGATGAATGTGGCATCCTCGCTCGGAGTTGGCATCGTGGCCGGTGATATCCCATGAGATGTTGGTGGAAGAAGATTCGGATTCCTGCTCGAAGGTGAAGGTACCGGTGATCTTTCCGTCACCTCGGATTTTGCAGACTGGAGGGACAGACGTTAGCTAGATTCACACTATTTTATCAGAGAAACCCGGGGCAACAACATCGATACCGTCCACTCGTGCCGCTACCTCTTGCAGAATGGATTGGGTAGCTGGTGCCGGTAACCATCCAGGTGGTCCATGGAATAAATCTTGCTCAAAGCCGCTCTTGGTGACCCCGCACTGGCTCAAGATCCCGTCTGCAGCACAAACGGTGGAGAGAGATGAATTTGACGATGACATACCTGCTTTGACCATTTTGAAGATTTGTTATGGATGAAGATGAATAGGTGGTTCAATTGTTGGTTTTCTGATAAATTGAGAGAAGAGGGGAAGACTTCGAAGCTGCCAGAGCTCGAAACGTCACGACCAGAGCGAAAGCGGGAGTGGGGTCAACGTTGATTACCTCAAGTTTTCGGCTTTTACGAAAGGGAAAGCCGAAATGGAGTCAGGGTGGCCGATTGGGGCTCCGATAGTGAGCTTGGAGCGGAAGGGTGATCCGATGGCATTAACGTCACGAGTTGGGTGTTGTGATTTTCTAGAAAGCCAGCCTGCTAGCCATCACAATTGAGAATTTCACCTCGATGCAACTTCGCTATAAATTCCCACGAAGAAAACACTATTGGAAGAGATTAATTGTAGATAGATTCAATTTGCCACGTGATGGCGTAAAACGGCTGGAAAAAGCCCGAGGTTCCACGAACCGGGACATTATCCTTCGAATCGACGGCCACTTGAGGCAGTGGAACAACACCATAATCTGCCGACATACTCGATGCTTCGGGGTGAGTAAAATGTCAGGTGAGTTATACGACGTTGCGCAGCGTTCTTGGATTTCTCTCCGAGCACTGCTATCTTGTACGAAAGGTACCGCATCGGGTATCAACATGGTTCAAAGCGTCAGATTACCGTTTGTACAACGTATACTTTTTTTCTGGTCACCGTGAGATACAACTCGGTCGTTTGAGTATATATATCGCCAACTTTCTCGATTCACCCTCGGCAATTGAAGGGTTTTGATCCCCCTTGGGCCAAGTAAACAACACGATGAAGCTCCAGCACATTCCCATCCCCAGCGAATCGTCGCTCTTCGGCCATGGGAGATCTGAAGCCGAAAATGACCCCACCAAGATGCTTTCACGCCGACTGGCGACCCAACAGGAACCGTCAATACCTGGAGCGGCGAGGCTTCAAATACCTTGACCCGATCGGCTTGTACCTGACTTTGGCCATATATTTGGACATACCTCTAAACATCTTCTCAATTCGAATTTCTCCCATTTCTAGCACAAACATTTCTTCATCCATCCCTTCCGCAACATGACTTCGCCTTCCGCTCGGGCATTCCCCTCCATCAAAGCCATCCGCACATTCGTGGTGGATGGGGTAGGATCGGGAGGAGATTATCACAATGTCGAAGGCGGCCACTGGTACAAAAATTCCCATCTTCAATTCATCTCTAGCTAATGCGACTAGGCTCATCGACACACCCATCTCAACTCCTATGTCGAGATGGGAAAAGTATAGAGCCTCCAGAACAAGTTGGGGTATCAATGTGCTTGGCTCGTTCTGCGTGGAGATTGAGGGGTCGGATGGCACAGTCGGTTTTGCAACCGGGTTCGGAGGTATGTTTTTCTACGTAAAACGAATTTCAATATCCTGACTCTGCAATAGGTCCACCAGCATGCTGGCTGGTCCACCAACACTTCGAACGATTCTTGATCGGCGCCGATCCACGAGACACCAATCACCTCTTCGAGCAGATGTACCGTGGATCTATGTTCTACGGGCGAAAAGGTCTTCCAGTTGCCGTCATATCGGTCATTGATTTGGCACTTTGGGATTTGTTAGGGAAGATCAGAAATGAGCCAGTCTACAAACTCATTGGAGGTGCTACACGGGACAGACTGGAATTTTACTGCACCGGTCCAGAACCAACAGCAGCAAAGGCGATGGGTTTCTGGGGAGCCAAGGTGCCACTACCATATTGCCCAGAGGAAGGACACAAGGGTCTGAAGAAGAATGTCGAGTTCCTCCGAAAGCATCGAGAAAGCGTTGGAGATGATTTCCCTCTGATGGTGGATTGCTACATGAGTCTCAATGTCCCGTATACCATCGAGATTGCAAAGGCGTGTTTGGATTTGAACATCAATTGGTGGGAAGAGTGCTTGTCGCCAGATGATACGGATGGTTTCGCCCAAATCAAGCGAGCCCACCCTCAGATCAAGTTCACCACCGGCGAGCACGAATATTCGAGATATGGTTTCCGCAAGCTCATCGAGGGTCGCAATCTTGATATCATCCAACCGGATGTGATGTGGCTGGGTGGATTGACCGAGCTTCTCAAGGTGTCTGCCATGGCTGCTGCATATGATATTCCTGTGGTTCCACACGCCAGTGGTCCATACAGTTATCACTTTGTCGTTTCGCAGACCAACTGCCCCTTCCAGGAATACCTCGCCAACTCACCTGATGGCAAGAGCGTGCTGCCGGTATTTGGAGATTTGTTTTTGGATGAGCCAATCCCGACTAAAGGCTATTTGGATGTTTCCCAGTTGGATAAGCCTGGTTTTGGATTGACGCTTAACCCCGCCGCCCGATTGATTCCCGCACAATACTTGCTTACGCCAAACCCAGAACGTCCACTTGGTCAGCCAGGAACTGCTGCTCCAAAGAAGATTGAGGCAAAGACGGAGGAGAAGCCAGAAGTCAATGGAATAGTAGCAGGTATCAAGGATCTCGCAACGTCGTCGGTTTGATTTGCAATTTTAGCGGTGAGCATTCTAGAGACAATTGAATATAGCATGGATTTCTGGTATGCGAAAATATAACAATATACTTCTACGTCACAAATTTCTGTCCATTGACTGTAAGTGAACGTACTTTTACACAAACACAACAACGGTACCTCGGATATGCCCCTCTATTCTTGTTACCTGTAGAGTGGACAAAAGTGGTTCGGGTGCAACTGTAACGAAGCCCGAATCGCGGGGCAACAGGGGTCTGGGAAAATGGAGATAGTTCCACCAAATTGCAGACGGGCAGGCGAGTGAACAATCAACCCGCGACCAAGAGCTTCTGTCTCCAGAATGCATTTCCATCAATATCACCACCTGAATTCTCCGTGAGCTGAAGGTCACCAGATCTGCCGTATATTCTCCAATTCTTTCCATCTCATCCCCATTTCTACTCCCTCCTCTCCCTCGAACGTCTCCCCCATCAAGACTCTCAGCGAATCCCCCCTCATCGAGCACCGCCATGCCCTTCTACCTCCTCGCCAACAAATCCGCCGCCATCACCGGCGGCACCACAGGCATCGGTCGCGCCATCGCCCTCGAATACCTGCGACAAGGCTGCAACGTCGCCGTCAACCACCTGGACCTCGAGTCTGACGCGGAGCACAAACAATCTCTCGTGTCAGAAGCGGCGGCACTCAAACAAAAAGACGAGAAGGCCGGCAGACTGATTGATGTGGCTGGTGATGTGAGGGAGCCGGCGACGGGGAAGAGGCTCGTGGAGGAGGCGGTTAGGGAGTTTGGGGGCTTGGATGTTTTCGTGAGTAATGCGGGGGTTTGTGAGTTTGCGGAGTTTTTGGAGTAAGTTGTTTTTTGTTTGATATATTGCTTTCTGGTTGAGAGGGGGGGAGGACCGGTGCTTGATATTCTCTGAAACCACAAGTTGAGAAGGACTTCAATCAGGAACGAGACATCAGCCAAGCACATCTGTTCTCATTGGAATCTAGCCAAGGTCTTGCTTGAAGGTCTATTCCAAGAGAAACCTGAGATCTGGTTGTGGTGTTAGGTTATCTGCTATCAAAATCTTACGTGCGCAGAGAATTATGTCAGACACTGTTGTAGTGTAAACATGCTCTCGATCATCTGCTGACTCTGGCGTTCAATAGTATGGATCACGATCTCTTCGCAAACACCGTCCGCATAAACCTCGATGGCGCATTCTACGCATGTCAAGCGGCCGCAAGACAGATGGCGAAACAAGGCAAAGGCGGATGTATCATTGGCATCTCCTCAATATCCGCACTCGTTGGAGGAGGATTGCAAACCCATTATACGCCTACCAAAGCCGGTGTTCTATCTCTGATGCAGAGTTTAGCAATAGCGTTAGGGCCGCACAAGATCAGATGCAATGCGTTACTGCCGGGGACGATCAAGACACAGCTGAATGAGAAGGATCTAAGTGATGATAAGAAGAGAGAATATACCGAGAGTCGGATACCACTTGGTCGAACGGGCGTACCGCATGATATGGCTGGACCAGCGGTATTCCTGGCTTGTGATGAGTTGAGTGGTTATGTCAATGGAGCGCAATTGCTGGTTGATGGTGGTATGTTCGTCAATCTGCAGTAACGAGGAGAATATTAGGAAAGGTTGAGTTGTTGACCGAAGAGACAAAGGTTTCCAGATAATGCGCAAGCTTTCCAGATAATGCGAAACATCCAGTATACTTCCGAAACTTATCAAACAATACATTACAATCACCTGATCAAACCATCGGGAAAGTCATGTTTTCTCCCACACAATTACTTGCGATGCGATTCGGGGATTGAGCCAAGCAGGTGTGCAGATCGTACGAACCACCCAGCATTCGTGCGGCACAACCCATCATTCGATCGACCACACTCAGAAGATCTCTTACCATTTGAGCTGCCAAATCACTTGTGCTGCGTATTATTGTGTTGTGTCTGGATATTATTCTGCTGATCGTGCTGATTCGTTGCTTGGTATGTGTAGCGGGCGTAACGAACGGCCGTAAGAAATCTCGCTTCGCTTTTGGAGTGAGTGATGGGGTTGAGGTGTTGCGGGTATACGGGTTTGAGTTGAGATTAATGGTTTGTACGGATGGTGCTTTATTAGAAGTAAGTGTCTGCTTTGCTGACTTTGAATTTTGGTTTCAATTATTTTCATTTTATGTCGTTTTCACCAGTATCATCACATCACCGTACCATCTATTCAGGGCAGCATACTTTGATATTATTTCATAACTTCATAAAACTAAAGCTTACTGAGAGCACATCACGATCTCCAACCTACCCAGTTGGACCTTCGTTATCCGACAACTTCACAGCCAAACACCCCAAAATGAAGCGTCCCTCCCCTCTTCCCCTCCAACCCCCCAAAAACCCAAAACAACTCAAACCAACCCCATCACCCCCTCCCACACTCCAACCACAATCACAACCTCAAACCTTCCACCACTACGGCCCCTGGAACTCCCACTCCCGCCTCCACCCAACCCTCGCCTTCATCGAATCCTACCACTCAACCCTCGACTCCCTCTGCACCTCCCATTACACCTCCCCCTCCCATTACACCTCCCCCTACTTCTTCAGCCCCCTCGCCACCTACCACGACACCAAAGGCGCCGTCCACTTCACCGGCCCCGCCATCTGGAGTTGGTTGATCGGCCAGTGTGCGCCGTTTGAGAGCGTACGGCATGAGGTTGTTGATGTTAGGGTTGTGCGTGAGGAAGGGGGTATGGGAGGGAGGGATGTCGTGTATGGCGAGACGATGGCGCATTTTGTGTTAAGGGGGGAGGAGGAGGGGGTGTGCGTGCCGCGATTTTTTGTGTGGACGGTTGTGGATGTTGAGGCGGGCGGGGGTGTGGATGGGGTGGGGAATGGGGTTGGTGAAGGGGTAGATGGGGTGGAGAATGGGGGGATTGGCACGAATGGAAAGGTATTCGAGAGTATAAAGGTTTTCTGGGATACGGGTGTTATTGGACGGTTTGTTACTGAGCGGAAGAGGAGGAGGGAGGGGGAGGTTTTGGAGAGGAGGGAACGGGAGGAGCAAGACAGGAGGGAGAGGGAGGAGGAGGGACGGAGGGAGAGGGAAAGAGTTGAGAGGGTGAGGGTGAGGCGGGAAGGGGAGATGGAGAGGGTTAGGCAGGTGGTTGATCGAACGAGGAGGGTTAGTGTTGGTGCGTTGTGTAGGGAGGAACGGGGGAGGATTGAGGGCGATAGAACTGTTGGGGAGGTGAGGTGAGAAATTGGGTTTTGGTGTTTAAATTCCTGGTATATATCAAGCGCGTGTTTGGTTGGGTTTAACGATATTCAAGGGAATGTCGTGGAGTTTGGGCGGGTATATCACGGTCTGTGTTTATCTTCGGTTTCGCATTTACGAGCTGTTATATATACCATTTCAATTATCAAATTTTTATTGCAAGAGTCTTGTCCTAAACGCACTACGGCATCTGATTCCGTGGTTGTAAGATAGGTTTATAGTCTATAAACACTGTATGTAAATTCTTCGGTTCCACAAACCGCGTTGGAAATAATCTCTATTTATATTTTGGAAAGATCAGCTCGATGGTAGCCTAAGGACAAGATAGGACTTCCTCACGGTGTATATAAGTGTTTGTTTTCATAGCCGTTCTTTAGTTCTTGATCTTTATGTAGTCTCCGAAACTGTACGAAATCGACGAATTCCATAGCGCGTGAGAAACTGATCCGCAATCATTAATGGATGCTATAGAGGAGATGTGGATTGTTAAACGTGTGAATAAAACCTTCAGATCTAGCATCGAGGAGGGAAGTATACAATCTGTAATTCGAAAATAGATTCAGGGAAGTAATCTATTCGCAATTACTACTCTTTAACCTAAATGTCATTTAAACGAGCCTGTTTATGGATTCTGAGGTAGAAGCCTGCGAATTTAGCAACTAGCATTAAGATCGAACCGGTTATAACTTTCAAGTGATCTAATATTTCGCTAGACCCAAGACCTAAAGCACAAAACCCATCCTCCACCAACATCCTTCCATTTAACCTTTTTCTACATTAGCGTTTATAAATACACTCCTAGATATTCGATAGGAGATTACTTCCAGGCCATTGTCGTCGTGAGAGAAGTACGAATAACTTTGAAAATACGGAGTTAATGTCGGTGATGTCGATTAGTCTGTTAAATGAAGAGGCGCTTCGGGATCGTTAGGTAGGTGTAGAGTAGCGTTATTGTCTTGTTTTACGGTGCGATGTTGAATCGTTGGTAAGAAGACTAGTCGCCTCTCTATTGTAAATGTAGGAAAATGGGATGGAGGGGAATTTGATTTGGAGGGTTTTAATCGCATGTTTTCTTGTGTGGTTGTATGTTCTCTAAAATACCATAATGATAGTTGAGTTACAGCTTAAACATTTCGCGAGTTAATCGTCTGTTTTTGCGTTTGATTCGAGATATATTGCCGTTTGTGTCTAGCAAAACGCCTTCAAGTTAATCGGATGCGAGAATAATACCAGCTATCTATTATGGGCAGCAATAACCCACGTCTGTTCTTGTTATATCGAGGTTATGAACTGCACCGGATTACGAATCATCTTTTGGGTTAGGGAAATTGATTTTGGACTTCCCGCAGGTTTGATCGCTACGGGATGGTTATATAATACAGCGGGACATTTGGATGATTGTAATGTGTTAATTGGATAGCTCGCGGAGGACAATATATTTGGCAGAACCTCCTTACTATTGTGTAAACTTAAATCATGTTTTACAGCGGGCGAGTAGCTTAAATTATGACTTTGTATAAAAGAGAGTTAAAAAGATTATATTTACCCAACATAATTGACGAAATATCGCATATTGCGTCAACTGTTCTGGGCAAATATTGTGCATCGACTGCCACTTATATTGTCCGTCGCGAGAATAAATAACCACTGTTATGTGCGTAGTTAGATTTAGGTAATCGGAAACATATACAGGGGTGGTCGCGTGTTTTCTTTTTCAGCAATGTTGTGTTATTCATCCTCCTGTATTGAAGACCGTTATTGGGATCATCGGCGGTGTTTTATGAATGTTGAACTAAGAGATGGATTTGAGCTATAGTAATTATCAGTCGACTTTAGCATCTTGGTTTATTTTCGGGGACTGATTCGACTAGAGGTAAATCACAGTATAACATTTTATAACACAAGTTATTCTTATGTTATTTGGACAGACGATAAGAAGAATCGGGACAGAATTCATCGCAATAGTGCTTCAAATGGCAACCCATATTTAAGAGGTACGTACGGCTAAAATCTCTACGCAAATATAATGTACATGTTATCGTAAATGAAAATATTGCCAGCGCTAGGTTGAATATACAAACCACCTCGCCACAGCTATCTTTTCCCAAATTTGCTCCTAGAAGCCTAGTACAAATGAAACCGGTATTCTACTTTTGTTTCTTCAAGTTCTAGCACGCCCTTCTCTCGAGTGCACCGCATATCTTTCTACAAAAGCCTTGCCCATCCCATTCCCAAATTTTACATCTAGTGCGTTCGAACTCCATACAAAGCAATAATATCATCAACAGACCCAGCTCTAGAAATAACCGACCGGCGATCATCCAGTCTCCTCTCATCCCTCATATCTCCTTCAATTTCCTCCTCATCAGGATTCCTTACAGTCAATCCTACTATCACATCTTGCCTCTCGTCCAGATCTCCCCGGACAGAACCCGACCTTCATCTCGGCCCAGTCAGAGGCTCATAACTATCATGCTTATGCAACATCCTCGGGCCCTGCGGATGTACATGTCCCAGTTCAACATTCGACGTACTGAACACCTTCATACCTCCCACATTCCCAACCGGTTCCGCAAAAACTCTGCTTGCGTGGCGGAAATGGAACATGATTTGCACCAGGAACATAAGCAACGTATCCCCAATGTACACATATGCCTCCTTAGCCATCAGCGCTCCATCCCTCCCTAGTCCAAACTCGACCATTCTGAAAACACACCTCGCAATAATAAGACCCGAAGCGATAAGCAAAATCGTCATGAGCGAATGCCAATTATATTTCCCCGTTTTCGGAATGAAAGACTTAAGCATCCTCTGTCTGAACGTAATCGCCATAACCAGAAAGAACCCAAAAAACAGCAACTGACATGCCAATCCGACCATAATGAGTGTTTGACCCATATTTGCCATGCTGGAGATGGACATCATGCCGCCGCCGCCGGCCTGGAGGAGGAACGAGAGCGTGTCGCCTGTAACGAAGATCTTTGTGACGCGCGTGGGACGGATGAGCGATGCGGACGGGTGGTTGACGAAAACGACTAGACGCCCGAAGATCATGTACATGGTTGCGGCGTACAATGAGGGAGGGAGGATGATGAGGAGGGATTGGATGGCGTAGAGCATTACGCTTGTGTCCTTTCGGGCGGAGGCGAAGCGGGCGATGTAGCCTAAAGTCATCACTGGGTTTGTTAGGAGATTGTAAAGGAAGTGGTTGTAGTTGGTGCTTTGAAAGGCGTGACTTACTTATTGCGCCTATGACGAAGGCTGTGAAGAACCAGGCTTTTCGTTTGATCATGACGATGAGGTGGATGATGGCGCTGATTCCGAAGAGACCCGCGCATACGATCGCGAGAGTCGCATTGGGTTTGTAGCGATAAAGTCCTTCCGCCATTTCCGCAGGAAATTCTTGATCGGATGCGAATATTGGTATTCCAAGTGGATCCTGACCGATAAATTTTTGATTAAAAAAGAAGGAATGTGTAAATGACAAAGACTGTCGAGTGAGTGGTTGTTTCTCTTCGAATGCCAGAGAACGAGTGTTCAAGAACTGAAATGTACGACACAAAAGAAAGGTAGTTAAGGAAAGACAAGTAGATATACCAAAGCGAAAAAGTACAGCAACAAACCCATCCTTAATTATAAGTAAACAAATCCCCTATCCGAACCCTATGCGAAAGTACGAATTGCCAATGCAAAAACGCGTCTTCGACGGCTCCGTTCCTGCAGCAATGGAGACATATGCTTAATTTCCATCCAATTAGATTTTGAAACACCGTAGGGCTGTACAGAATTAGAACGATCTCTGTGGGTACGAGGAATCCGTACGAACGTATCCGATAAGCGAGAAGGTATGCGACGGATCCGAGGAGTGGCCGCGAGTACGAGTTAGTTGCGTGGGTCTGAGTTGACCCCTTTTATTGAAAAGTTCTGGCAAATTCCGAAAGTTTTGCTTACTCGACAAAGCACTGCCACTGAAGTCTCGAATTTAAAGGGATGTGGTTGTGAGTTGACTGGAATCTTGTCGGATTGTTGATAATTTCCAGTCTCATGAAACGGTTTTCAGGCGATATGAGTTGTAGCAGAAACAGGGAATAATCTCCTGGAGCTATTTTTTGTTTGATACTAGCAACTGGCAGTTTGATCTGTATACCATAAATCCTTGAAAACAGCGAATGTTCCTCCAAGTCTCACAATTCGTGATGGCTTGGTATAAACAACTGCTACCCAAGACTGGGCTTGTCTTTGTTTCTCAACCATAACGATTGACGCGAGGCGTTATTGGACAGGTAAGGTTCGTGGTCTTTACATGTAAACATGCTTTTGGTTCATTCTTGCTCAACTTGCGAAAAGAATTTAATGGATCAGAATTTGCATCGAAATAAGGGCTTCAGCAGTATACTACATCAGAAACGAGCGCTTCTCCACAACATTCCTGGTTGCTGGTTCGTATTTGATTCAAGTCCTACAAGAAACTCGGCTTTCAAACTCAAACTCTTGCCACGTACTACACTCGTAGCTATGGATACAATGGAAGCTCAGTATATTTGGAAACATTTTCTGCCTTTTAACGCCATGAAAGTATTGCTATTGTGTCTCAGGCGTCAGGACGCTTGTTCAGAATCGACAAGTCAATCGAGATAACTGGTCTTCGGTATCTGACGCAAGTTTTCAGAGAACTTTGGAAGGAATCTAGGAATGCAAAACTGACCGCAACCCAAGCATGCCCGATAGAGCTTTTGTGACCTCTTCATGTAGCGCATTCTTGACATCAGTGTTACGCTGAGAAGTTACGCAGTGTCACTAGGCCGATCGTAATGAAAAGCTTGAATCTCCCAAGTGCAACATTCGTTTGAGCTTAATGCCACAACTGAAGATTTGGTGTTCTCTTGCAGACAAGATACTACAAGAATAGACCAAACGGCAGAGTCCACGCTAGGCAATTGTGCTCTCATCTCTGTGCCATATCATCACCAGCGCCAGGGAGTAGTTTTGAGAGCTGGCCGTGACGCAGTTGTCTCAAGGAGAGTAAATCACTCAGCTCAGCTGCAACTGTTTCTGCGACAGGGTCTAAATTATCATCGAAAGCTTTTCAACATTCAATGAGACTCAAACTGTCCCCTTCCAAGCAAATTGGTCGTCATCCTTTGCCAAGCCCGAGATTCTGATTATTGCATGATCGTAATCGATGGGAATAGAGTCGCGTTGGAAGCAGAAGACGAGTGTCGCTGCAGTGTGACTGGTGACATGGTTACTAGCGGGCGAAATGTCGTTCGAGGCTGTGATACTTGGATTTTGTTTGAACCGACGATAGCGGTTGTAATTTCTCCTTCAATCTGGAACATGATTTAAGCATATATGATTTCCTTGGCTTCGACAGCAACTATATCGCTCTCAGATCTCAGATCAAATCATCGCAGATCTCCAGATCATGTCCTTGAACGATCGTCAGTGGTTCCCTCGGGGAATGCAACAAGAAGAAATCGCGCACTTACTGTACATTTTCTTCTCGTGTTGCTTAAATCACGCATCTTTGCTCTTCATCCCATTTCTGCTTCTCCACCTTCGATCGTTTTGAGGCAATTATTGCACCTTGAGGCAGTGCAAATCCTGTCAACGCGGTATATTCGCTATTGGAACTTTTGTTTTTCAAGGTTTGAATTTGATGGATCTAGGATTTGAGATTTGAATTCAGCAAGAACTGATAACCGGATTTCTCACGAGGGACTTGACTGTAGTCCATTGTCCTGGCGGTCGCTAAACCTAGATGTGATAAGCAAGAGTTAATTTGAGTCCAAGCAGTGTACTACAGTAAGTCTTCTTGACTAGTTAGATCTTGTCATTGTACACTTCGAGATCCGTTGGGTAAGACCGACCACAGCACGGACTGAGAAGCACGTGGAAATATAAGCAGCCCAAGCCCAACTGTCTTTAGAGTCTCCTTGACTCTTTTAGTCCTCATTGTACGAAGTAGTACTGAGCTAGCTTCGGGCTGTGTCTGAAGCCGCAGAGTAGTGCATATTTGGCGCGGGGTAAACGTGGTTGAGGATGGTATCAGGGACCATTGGCTGTCGATCAAAATTGCCGAGAAGAATGGGGGCCAAATTAGTGCAATCCGAGGAAGTCACGGGGCAGACTATCAACAGATAGTGCGCCGACGTAGACCTTTAATCTAACGAAACAACAAGTTTAGAATGATACCACGATAGATTGAAAAGTTTTTATCGTTGCACTCTGCCTAATCATAATGTTGAATGTTTATATCCATCACGTTTCTCTTCGATGACGTCTTTTGGGCGATCTTCCTGAACGTCCATTTCCCCAAATCCACTGATTCTATTCAGAACTCAACCGGATCAACATTACTTTGCGTTTCATAAATTACCAATAAATTGACGATCTAACAGTCGCCAATCTACCATTCCTTCAACTCCCCAGGTGGTGCTCAGGTTATCTGTTGAATATGCATTTCCCGTCAGACAAAGTTGTTGGCCAACATGCAAAGTGTGTGAGTGAGCAGGCGTCGCTATCTGTTGGCCGGACACTCCGTGCCATGCCCGCTGCTGCATGCTGTACGAAGTACCTCACTGCCTGCAAGCCAATCCATATCTCAGCCCACGATGCATGCCAATGTCGTCAACCATGGCTTTGCGGTGTGGGTTGACGCACATTCTGAGCACGAAGTTCTGGTTTCGTTGGCAATCTGAATGAATCAGATCATCAAAGCAATATTTTATGGTCCTCTCTCATTTAGGCCACGGAGCGTTAACGTACCCGCATCTGAGATTATCCATAGCATTCGCTCGTCCGAGTTATTCAAATGGGCTATCGGAGTTTACAAGGGAGATAGACGATCTCTGCATCATGACAGATTTTACAGATACGCGGATAGCATCGTCATAAACCCCTGCTTGCGCATGCTTTTCATTTTCCTTCAGGACGTTAGCCCAGCCTGGTGCGAGACCTCTGATGGGGTGTCATAAGCTCTCAGAAGTGTATTACTTTGATTACGAAACATTATAGGCAGCATATCACAAGCAGTGAAAAAATATACAAATCACCAAGCCGTCGTTCAGGCGACAGACTTTCACATCAGGAGGGCGAGTGTAGGCTCGCGTGGTACATGTAAAATGCTACCCGAGTGGGTTTCATGTACGATACAAGGCCATTCTTCAATGGTCCTCGATCGAGGAGATTTGCACTCTTGCGATCTTTCCCATATTGTTTCTCACAAAGTGCAAGACTGATCAGTTTGACATGGACAAGCGATGGGCGAAGAGAAGCAAATACTGCTCACAATATATAGTTCATTGTACCTCCGTACCCATCTCCATTCGTGCAACGGTCTCAATGTTCGAGGCTCTAGACTTCAGCCCTCGTTTGCCAAGTGGTTAATGAGGGTTAGGAGAAACAATGGCTTATCACATGATTGGCCTCGTTGGTCGCCCGTCGCTTTTACTTGCTTTAGATGCACAACAGCGCCAACAAGTGGCAATAGCCTCCCGGCCGCTTTCACATGATCCGGTAGTCAGCGACCCTCCAATTCCCAGGGACTGTAATTGCACAGCCCCGCGGGTTAGTGAACGGCGTGAACCAGTGAGTCAAGCTCAACGAATGATAGGATTGCAGTGAACCAATTAGCATTTGATATCAAGCACGGCATGGGGAGGGGAGAGGAGCAACGGATTCGCCAAGCAAGAGGCTTTAGTCAGACTCGAAGTGGTCGAGATCTCCTCCATCTGCACGAGCAATTTAGATCCTAACGAGCTCGAGCCAGTTGCTGCTGGTAAGCTATTGGTTGCTGCAGACGCTCGCTCCGCTTGACAGCCTAAGTGGCCTTTGCCAAGGGCCAGCTGGGCGATTGGTCATGACGTCTAGCGGAGCGAGGTGGAGCGGATGGCGGGGAAGTGGAGTGTCAGTCCCCCTTGGCGTTGTGCCCCTCGCTTATGGCCATGCCTCGAGGGGATGATGATGAGGGTAGCACTCGTTGGAAAGGTATATATTGAGTGCCCTTGCCGCTTTCCAAAAGCTCTCAGTCTATATCAACACTCTTGTCACATCTTGTTACACACAAAATCCAACAAGAACCCTCAAGTTACACATCAACTATTACTACCACAACCATTACAACTTTATCAAAAGACAACATGGCTACCAATCTTGCACCAACCATTCGCTTCGACGAAGCTGCGATCCGTAAGCTTGCCTGAATGCTGTCTACATTCCGAACGAAGCTAACAGTGTATAAGGTCGTTTCTCCACTTCGGGTATCTCCAATAGATCAAGAAAATCAGACCAAGACGCAGAAGACGACTCTGATGAAGAACACGCACAAGATTGGTCAAAGACAACGAAGGATGGAGAATCTTGGGCAGACCGCGAGCGTCGACGATCCTCAATCTGGTCAAAGACCGACACAAATACTCCTTTCGCAAACGTCGATACCTCAGGTCGCCGGGGTTCAGTCCTCTCACTCTGGTCTGCCGGCAAAGATAAGGATGGAAAGCACATCTTGAAGCACGACGACGTACCAGCGAAGGATGAGGACTACAACGAGAGTGCCATTTCTGAAGGACTCCCATCCCCGAACGGATCAAGACAGGGAAGTCTTAGCGTCCCCGGTTCTCGACGAGGAACAAACGATCGCTCAGGATCAAAGGGCGCAGACAGACGGCCAAGCATCCTCAGCATGTGGTCTACCGGCAAAGACAAGGATGGCAACGTCGTGATGTTGCACGACGACGAGGAGTGGAAAGAATGAGCGGGTTCTTCTACCACTTGCACAATGTTTCGCTTCTATTCTTGTTTACATTTTAACGATTACATAACGAGGGGATATGTTTTGTTGGGTTACATGCGCGCGCGCTGGGTTTTTGAAATGACGATACCATCTCCATTCGGGTTGAATGAACGTTGATGTTCTGAAAACAAATTCGTATCTTAGTTAGATTTTGGATTAAAATCCTCCCTTCGGGTTGAGGAACGAAATGAATCATTACCACGCATGCCTGTCTTATCATAATTCTGCTTGAAGTCTCCTTCACCGACTCTGAACTTCTGGCGCATTCTTCCCCATCGCCAATAATCCCAACATAATCCAAAGATTTGTATGCATATTTCGCCCAGGATCTAGACAGCGTCAGCCACCACATCTGCCGTCTCATCTCGGAAGCACATCACATCACCTCACCACGACCCAACGTGCGACGCTGATTCGACACCAAACATCCCACTGTACAGACGGTACGAAATAATCAAATCGCACAGGCAAAAAACAACTTTTTATTTTTTTCTTTGGGCCCGCCGTATCACGACATCATCATGTCAGACCGACTTTCTCCCTCTGTGCCTGCCTGCACGACTGGCCCGCGTCGTCCTGATAACCGGTTATCTGCATTTTTCCTTCTTTTTGGGGATGGGTTGTGCCTCTTTGTGCTTGGCGAAGATGACGGTGAGGTTGGAAGAAGCGTTTTCGACAAGCACGAGATAAGGGGATGCCGAGTCGGGATTTACCCTTGTGGATAGGAGAGCTAAGCGAGGCTCGTGGGCCGTAAGCGAAATAAGTTTCCGGATGAAGTGGAACTTTTTTTGTTGGCGGTCTTGATCTGATAAGAATTTGGATGGCGATGGTTTGTTGCATGTTGCATTTGGATGGCGTGAATGATTCAGATATCGAGAGGAACTGGACACCGTGTTTACAATGTCGCACTGTCATTCGAACTCTGACAAGATTCAAACAGGGACAACGAGATCCACTCGAGACATGGAGTCAAAACGCTGACCGCCTAGCGCAGTTCTTTCCTTCTTCCTCACCGAGTCAGATCAATTATCTTCTGCACCTTATGGACTACATGATTGTCTATCAGAATGAGAAGCGTAAAATCATCATGCTGTTGGCAGTCACCCCACTTGACAGTAATGACGCTCGGAGAACTTGAGAAGGTTCTAATTACTACTCGATGGACAGATGGTAACTAAAACTTGTTGGTGAAAAGTTGACCTGAAGGCCTTAGGGCCATGACATGTAGCTGACATATCAAAGAAATTGATAGTAAGAAATTGAAGATTGCTCTTTTGAAGATGTCTTCACACAATGGCCCAGAGACATATATCTCATTCTGACATTGCATATGGCTTCTCTTGTTTTCTAAGTTTCGTATTTGCTCCATGCCTTCTAGGCACCGGATCAGAATAAACCCATTTCTCGATGATAGTCGCTGCCTGAGCTTCCAACATAGCTACCAGTACCTTCAAGTTGAAGTTGCTCGCCCGCCGTGCAACGTCGTGCAAGCCCAAAGGACTCCCAATCCGCTCCCGCCCGACCAGCAGTATCTGCAGATTTCATGACACTAGTTCAATTACCTAGATCTTTAGAGGTGCAACCCCTGATTGCTGTCCAGGTTTTGGAGGTGCAATGGCAGCAGCTTTCGGAGCGACGACTGCTGGCTCTTTCCCAGGACCCTGAGGCTTAATAGCAGCAGCCTTTGGCGGTGCAACTGCTGGTGCTGCAGGCTTAAGAGGCTCAACGACAGCGGTTCCATTAGGTGGTGCTGGAGGGGCGGCTGGAGGCGAAACCGCTGGAGGTGGAGATGCAACGGCTGCCGGTTTTCCAGCTTTAGCAGGCTCAGCAACAGCAGTTCCGTTTCCGGGAGCGGCTTTTGGTGGTGCAACGGCTGGTGGTGGAGCAGGTTTAGGGGCCTCGACGGCAATAGTTTCATTCCCAGCAGCAGGTGCTGGGGGAGCAATTGCTTTCGGGGGTTCAACGCCAGCAGCTTTTGGAGCCACCGGTGGTGCTGGGGGAGGCGATGCTGCTGCTAAAGCTGCTGGTGGAGGGGCAGATGCTTTGGCTGGCGGGGTTGGTGCTGCTGCCGGTGGGGGAGGGGGTGCCGATGCATTAGCTGGTGGTGATGGTGGTGTTGCCAAAGCTGGTGCTGTGGACGCCTGTTTCGGGGGTCAGTATACATAGATGAATACCGCTTTATTAGGACGCGAAGGCAGATAAAACGAAATCAACACTCGCTATGAAGCTTGACAGAGATGGTATAGGTCGGAGGTTGAGAATTTAATACTTACAACTGGGCTAGCTGTTGGAGCTTCGAGCTTCACTGGTGTTACTATAGCAGCTCCTACTTTTGCCTATTATTCGGTTAGTGTGCATATGGAAACTTGTGGCAAGACTGTAACAGCAACACACCACAAAGGGCATGCACGAGAATTAGGAAGTGATATCGTACCTGCGGCTCTACACCTACAACATCATTCTGTCCCTCGATCGTTGCTTTGGCCGGGCGAGCAAGTGCTTCGACGCCGAAAGCCAAAGCTAGTACAACAGTGGAGAATCTCATCTCGCTTTGCTAGAAGCTTTTGTTTGTAATGACTGAACTGTAAAACAAGGTACTTAAAAGATGATAACTTGACTTGCAAGTGGAAAATGATAAGTATAGATGGCAAAGAGCGATGGCTATAAAATAGTAACAAAAACAAGAAGATTCGAAAGAATGGACCAGCACCTTGCGAAATAGATCTTCATCTCAATATTGCAGCGGGTTAATCCAATATTTTATCTAATTTCGAGCTCAGTTCCTCCCATCAATCAATTCCAAATTGCCAAGCTGCATTGACACACTTAGTCTAATCCAATAATCTCTAACAACCGTATGTTTGAGCAAAAGAAAGAGAAATTTAGTGAGTGATTATTAGCCGCATCTGAGACTCCCACGGACGGGGTATCATAAGCTAGGGTGTATCGATTGGCGGCGGATACTTAAGACGATCCAGGGGATCATATCCAAGTTTTAAGCTAATCTTTCTGGGGTTTGCCCATGGTTGTCGCTTGTAAAGCTGTTTGGGTTTGGATATCCGACCGTTTGAAACTACTGAAGTGTTTTGTGACAGCCAAGACCGATGGACGTGCTCTTTGATGATCAGCTGAATAGTGTCACGTGCCACTCGCCGGTCCAGATCTCAGTAATTAGAAGCCCAACAGAACAAACAAATTATTCCTTGACTAGGGCCTCGCCCTATCGCATCATCAGAGAAAGATAGATGTTCCGGGGATTGACGTTTGGGTGTGTATTTGGAATCTGGAGTGATGGGGAGGCTCATCACAAATAACAAGCAACTACCTAGTCTCGAGCCAGTCATCGCAATATTAGAGGACCAGAGTATGGAGTAACAACTTGAGCTGACAGGTTTGAAACCATATCAGATGAGAATTCGATTGTCGGAACCGGTAAATTGCCATCGAAAGCCTCAAACGCGGTCGCTTCAGAAACACTCATAGCCCGGCTCTTGCTAGCTTTTCAGCATCCGTATTCTGTTCCTTTGGCACATCCCAGATGTTGACCTCGTAACCTCGGCTTTGGAGATGCTCGAAGTGCTGGTGGATCTTTTTGAAAAGCTCTCCGTTGACCACAGGCTTCCCATCTGCTTCCTTATATCCGTCTCTTTCAAATTCCCATACCCAAGCGCACACGCCACTTTTGACATAGAGCGAATCCACGATTATCACGATTCTGGACATGTCTTTAGGCAATTCGAACCATGGCTTGAGTAGATTTTCAATAATCATATCCAAAGCTCTTTCAAGTGCGAAGAGCTTCGCGGCTCGCACCGTCTGAGGTAGGCTGGCTGGGAGTGCCATACTCATGTTGAGATTTGATGTACCAGCCCAGAAGATACCTCCTGCCGCTCTTGCATTGGGGAGACCTTTGTTCTCGCAGGCACCATTGACACTGATCAAGAGGGCTGTCGGCTCAGCGGCAAGTGTACGTATGGTCGCCCCTGGGTCGTCTCTGAACTCGGTTCCGTACTCGCCATCGTTATAAATTCGGCGATTGATCTGTTGTCTGCTCATATCGGATGAACGTCTGCGTTTGTTGTGTTGAAGCGGTGATTTGTAACCTTTGGAGGTTGGTTTTTGTGTCCAACGCTGGCTTTTCGTGGTGCTAAAAATAGGCTGAAGTTTTTGTGGGCCTCGCAGCACGGCCGAATCTTATTTCCTTCACTTTGAACTACTCTCACTACAATTTCAATGTCTTTTGGGTGGAGATGGAAATATGTGTTTTCTTTAACTATACACAAAAGGAAAGATTTCATGAAACACCTACACCGACCCAGCTACGTCATTCTAACTGACATCCGAAAATGTCATGAGCTGACTCAACAAGCAATTTCTAATCCATATGTCAGTGTACAATATTGAAATCAAGGCTCCAGTCGCTGACTGGCTGTGGAAATTTTAATGGCAACTAAATATTATCCCAAACCGTAGTGTCTGAGGTTTTCTATGGGTTTGTTGTGATGAAATTGAAAAGGTTTATTCTCTTCGACATACTCGACGCCGTTTGCGTTATTCCTACCGGTCGGAAACATGTAATCAGGATACCCTTTGTATACTAATTATAAGAGCCAAATATTTCGCTTCTCTATTACATGTCCATTTGTTAGTAGTTTCTAGAATCTCAGAGTAACCAGTAAAGCTTTATTGCTATCTTTTCCAAAACCCTGTGGAAACTTCCCAACCACTCACATCCTATACCGATTAATTTCCATCTCGAAAGGCTCTTGTGCCCTTCTGTCAAAATTCGCTTGCTCGAATTTCTTTACGGTAAATCCTTGTGGGTACAACTGTACTATATTCTTTGGCGACCAGCAAAAGCCTATGCAGTTAAGGGAAGTATATAGCATCAAACCCCTGATATCTGTATACTATCCTGATAATTCATATTAATATACTATCGTGATCGCATGCTAGTAATCTAATTCAATCTCTCGCTAATAATATTCTAACATGTTTAATGAAGAGCGATAATAAAGGATCAAGTACTAGTATTCGGCATGAGAGGGTCTACCCTTCTATTACAGAAAAGCGACAACTCTACAAGACCTTCAAAAGACTCGGGAAAGCTGATTAGTGGCATAAGCTCCCAGTCATCAAAGCAACGACTAGACTTTGCCAACTCGAATAAACTGTAGTGGAGCGTATTAGGAGAGTGTGTCAACTTGTGGTAGGTATTATTTATACCTTAACAATTGCGCAATGTAAGCTCTAGAGCCCGAAGACTATTATACTTTAATTTATCTAGGTGTAGAAAGACACAAGGCGTAATCTCGGCGAGATAGAGTCGATATAGCTCTTTCCTCTTACCTAAACCCTTAGCTAGGGCTCGAAGCCTAATGTATCTTATTTACGCGTACTCTATTCTTGTAAATAGAAGGCGCTAGATAGTATCTAGATTAATATAGATTTAAAGTAATTAGAAGTAGAATTTAATTAGTATAATTACTTTTATATATATATTACTAATATTACTTAATTAGTATAAGTCTACAAAAGTAATTAGAATAGATCTTTTATATAGTCGGTACTTATAACTCTTATTTGCTATATCTAAATATTTAGATATTTAAAGCTAATTAGATTATCTATTAACGGCTTATAGTCTATACTTATTTAATTATTATTAGAATTAAAAGTATTAATAATATTCTCGCTATAATTAACTATATTATAGAAACTTAACTACTTATCTACGTCTAAAGCTAATAGCTAAAATCCTATACTACCTACTTCTAGCCTTTTTATATAACTATCTATATTACTCGAGTAAGTAATTTATTATTCTATATATTAGGCGTTTTAATATATAATAATATAGTAGTTATTACTAGCTTAGCGACTAAGAATATTATATATATTAAAGTATAGAGCGAAGAGAGAGTAAGACTACTTATATAGGTATAGCTAAGTATAAGTAAGAAGAGTAACGCTCTTAAGTAATATATAATAACTTATAGATTTAAGTTATAATAAAAAAGTTATAGGTACTTTAAGGTCTATATATTTAGCGGCGGCTTTACGGCTAGATAGCTTCGAGTCGATATTATAACTCTACTAAAACTCTATCGACTAAAGTCTTAATTAATACTAAAAATAAATAAATACAACTTAGTATTATATTAAATATATACTATACCTACCTAGAAACTAACTTATAGTTATATACGACTTATTTATATTAAGTTATTATATATATATAATATTACTTATAAATAGTTTAGGTCTATATACGTAATCTATATACTACTATAGTATAAAAACTATACTATTTATAAGAGTTTAGACCCTAGGGGTAGAACACTAGCTATACGTACTAGTACTTACTAAGCGAGGGCCCTACCCTAATACACTATATAAAGCGCTACTACTAAGCGCCGTACTTCTATATATAAAAGGCGGGCTCCGAGTAGAATTCTTCTCTCTTCTTTATCGAACTTATTTAATCCTATAAGTAAGCCCTTATATATATATAGCTTTCCTATAATATTAAGTTCGATTAATTATAGATCTAAGATAAGTCCCTTAATTCGATAGGTTTATACCGTCTACCGGCGAAAGCTTATTAGCTACCGAGAAATAATAATAATAAGTATTAATAAATACTAAGTTATTAGAAGTACTTTAAAGGGTTTACGTACGTTAATAAGAGATAGAGGCTAAGTTAAAAAGAGAGTATTCTATAGAAAAACGTAAGAAGAAAGGAGAGAGTTAACTAAGTATATTAGAAAACTCCTTCTCTATAAATAACCTTTTAAGAGCTCTAATCGCCTCTCTCGACGTAAATAAGTCGTAGTCTAATAGATAACCGTCGGGCCCTAGGGATTAGTATCTACTAATCTAGAATAGACGAGTAGATACCTTTCGGGATTATCTTTTAAGACTTAAAAGCTTATATAGAGTACGTTTCGTAGTAAAACTAACTCTCTCCGTAGAGTATTATTAGAATACTATCTATAATACTCTTCTATCCCGAGAAAGAGCTAGAATAAGGTACTTCTAGAAAAAGAAGGACGTTACTCGTAGTAAGGAGCTTAAAGTATTTTTTATATAACTTAATAAGACTTTTACGAATAGTAACGAGAAGGCTAAAGCCCTAGAGAGGCTATTAAATATAAGATACTCTCTAGGTTAACTATAGTATAAATACTAGCTAGAATTCGACGAACTCTTACTATATACTAGTAAGGAGAGCTAGGAAAGCGATACTAAGATTAGTTACCTTAAGAATACCTTCTTAAATCTCGTCTAGATATATATAGTAACTATAGTAAAGATAACAGACTACTATAGCTTTATAGAAGAGGTAGAACGTATTATAACTAACCTTAAAGAGACTAATTAGTTTAAATTAGCTAATAGAAAATAGAGAGAATAGAATAAGGACTCTATAATAAGGATAATAGTAACTATATAGTTATAGGGGCCCTCTATAATATCTAGAGTAGATACTAATAGTAATATAGTAATAGTACCTATACGTATATATAGTAAATAAGAGAAAGGTAATAGAGACTATAAGTCTTTAAATAGAAAGTAAAGAGCGAAATAGGTAGATGTAGCTAAGAGAGAGAAACGCCGAGAGAAAAAACTCTACTTTTAATATAGAGTCTTAGGGTATTATATTCGAGAATATCTATATAACCTACCCGCGTAACCTATTAAAATTAACTAAGTCGGGTTAGGCCTACTCCTAGAAGACGATAATAAAACTATAGAGCCCGAATCTTCCGAATTAGAAAAAGTCTAGCTCTTAGTCGTAGTTAGAAACTAAGAGCTAAAAGAGTATTAGCTAAAGGATAGAAGAAAGAAAAGAAAGTAATAAACGGAAATCTTATATATATAGATATAATTCTTTAGAAAACTTTCGAAACTTTTACTCTTATTAATAAAGAATACTAATACTATACTATAATTAATAGGGACCTTATAAAAGAACTTAGTCTTAAGTTTATTAGTAACAAAAAACGAAAGATAATAGAAGCCTCTTTCGCTATACGGAAATTAGAGGTTAAAGGAGTAGTCGCTTTCTAAATAGATATTACTAGGTATAGTTAAGTAGTATATATATACGTAATACTAGACCTAGTATTTCTAATAATTCTCGGGAACCTCTAGAAAGCGTAAAATAAGATATAAACTACACTAGATAAACGGCGGTTCTATTATAGTAAGGTAAGGTAATAGATAAAGAAAGGTCGTAACTATTACGACTATATAGATAATAGGGCTTTTACGACAGTAGCCGCTACTAGCGCTAAGGACGTTAGAAAGGCTATAAAGAATAAGAAAGAACTATCTATAGAATAGTTAAAAGAAAGACTACCTCTAGAGGTTTACGATATAGTACTATTATTTTCGAAGTAGATAGTAGAGAAATTAGCCCCTTACCGACTAGAAATCGACTATAAGATCGAGATCTAAAGCTAGGTAGATAGGACCCCGACAGCTTTACTATAGAGACCGCTATATAGTATATCGAAGAATAAGCTACTAGTTTTAAGAAAGTCGCTAAACGACCTCTAAGGAAAGGGCTATATTAGGCCTAGTATATTAGAGGTAGCGGCCTCTATCTTATTTATATAGAAGCCCGGGGGAGGACTTAGGTTCTACTACAATTATTATACTCTAAACGTAATTATAAAGCTAGATAGATATTCTCTACTACTTATTCCGAAGACCCTTAGAAATATAGCGGGCGCCGATTAGCTTATAAAGGTAGATATAGTCTTAGCCTTTTACTAGATTTAAGTAACTATAGACTATAAATATAAAACTACGTTCTAAACTAGATTTAGTTTATTCGAATAGTTAGTAACTTTATTTAGTTTAAACGAGGCCTCGGCTATATTCTAGTAGTATATTAATAGCTTACTACGAGAGTATTTAGACGACTTCTACTTAGCCTATATAGATAATATAGTAATTTATATAAAAGAGTTAAAGAAAGACTACTTTAAGAAAGTCCGCGACGTTCTTTATAAACTATAAGACGAAGGCCTATTCCTAGATCTAGG